TAGATGACTGTTCTAAACATACATATATATTACACAAATATATATTAGACAAATATATATTACAGAAATAGATTTAAATAAGTAGCAGTAGTATTATGACAATATTTATTTTTACAGAGGGGTCCATGGGGGAGGGGGGTTGTAACTGTTGTTGTCAAAATTTCCCCACTACTACGCAGTTTGCTCATAAGTAAATTTAAATAGAGGTGCCACATCAGTTGTATTTGTTTCTGTATTGTAATTTTTTTTTTAATTAATCACACGATTCAAACTGTAATAGAGTAATTATGTGTGAAGTTTTATGTATAACATTTTCTAATTCAATTATTTGTAAGCAAATACATTATACAGTTGCCTTAAACTTAACACCCATCTTAAAACCCGTAGAGTTTTTTTTAAACAATGCAATGCATCATAATGTTTATTTTTAGAATGGCAAACTGATGCAACTGTTAATACGTGTTGTAAACGTAGACGCTACTAGACTAGTACAATAATGCTTAATTGCTGCATGAAAAGAAATCTTGTGATTTACATAGATGTGCCGACCAAAAATATTTTTTTTTTGCAAATATCATTGTTTAAAACTTTGAGTTTAAAAAGTTTCCAAAAAAGGCGCCACTTTGCTAAAAATGGCCAGAGGGGGAGCGGCCGCTCCCCCTGCTCCCCCCCTGCGTACGCTACTGCTTCTGGCGATGTTGGCTGTGTCAAAAGCTGTTAGGTTTTAAGATGTGGTTTTAGCTATGTGGTCAGTGGTAACACCTCAATCAAAGTTGGGGTCAGTGGTGAAGCCACAGTTTTAGGCGAGGTCAGTAGTGTAGCCACAGTTTAGATGTGGTCAGTGGTGTAGCCACACTCAAGTTTTAGATGTGGTCAGTGTTGTAGCCACAGTTTTAGATGTGGTCAGTGTTGTAGCCACAGTTTTAGATGTGGTCAGTGGTGTAGCCACACTTTTAGATGTGGTCAGTGGTGTAGCCACACTTTTAGATGTGGTCAGTGGTGTAGCCACACTCAAGTTTTAGATGTGGTCAGTGGTGTAGCCACACTCAAGTTTTAGATGTGGTCAGTGGTGTAGCCACAGTTTTAGATGTGGTCAGTGGTGTAGCCACATTTTTAGATGTGGTCAGTGGTGTAACCACACTCAAGCTTTAGATGTGGTTAGTGGTGTAGCCACACTCAAGTTTTAGATGTGGTCAGTGGTGTATCCACACTTTTAGATGTGGTCAGTGGTGTAACCACAGTTTTAGATGTGGTCAGTGGTGTAGCCACAGTTTTAGATGTGGTCAGTGGTGTAGCCACACTTTTAGATGTGGTCAGTGGTGTAGCCACACTTTTAGATGTGGTCAGTGGTGTAGCCACACTCAAGTTTTAGATGTGGTCAGTGGTGTAGCCACAGTTTTAGATGTGGTCAGTGGTGTAGCCACACTTTTAGATGTGGTCAGTGGTGTAACCACAGTTTTAGATGTGGTCAGTGGTGTAGCCACAGTTTTAGATGTGGTCAGTGGTGTAGCCACACTTTTAGATGTGGTCAGTGGTGTAGCCACACTCAAGTTTTAGATGTGGTCAGTGGTGTAGCCACACTCAAGTTTTAGATGGGGTCAGTGGTGTAGCCACAGTTTTAGATGTGGTCAGTGGTGTAGCCACAGTTTTAGATGTGGTCAGTGGTGTAGCCACACTCAAGTTTTAGATGTGGTCAGTGGTGTAGCCATAGTTTTAGATGTGGTCAGTGGTGTAGCCACACTCAAGTTTTAGATGTGGTCAGGGGTGTAGCCACACTCAAGTTTTAGATGTGGTCAGTGGTGTAGCCACAGTTTTAGATGTGGTCAGTGGTGTAGCCACAGTTTTAGATGTGGTCAGTGGTGTAGCCACACTCAAGTTTTAGATGTGGTCAGTGGTGTAGCCACAGTTTTAGATGTGGTCAGTGGTGTAGCCACACTTTTAGATGTGGTCAGTGGTGTAACCACAGTTTTAGATGTGGTCAGTGGTGTAGCCACAGTTTTAGATGTGGTCAGTGGTGTAGCCACACTTTTAGATGTGGTCAGTGGTGTAGCCACACTCAAGTTTTAGATGGGGTCAGTGGTGTAGCCACAGTTTTAGATGTGGTCAGTGGTGTAGCCACAGTTTTAGATGTGGTCAGTGGTGTAGCCACACTCAAGTTTTAGATGTGGTCAGTGGTGTAGCCATAGTTTTAGATGTGGTCAGTGGTGTAGCCACACTCAAGTTTTAGATGGGGTCAGTGGTGTAGCCACAGTTTTAGATGTGGTCAGTGGTGTAGCCACAGTTTTAGATGTGGTCAGTGGTGTAGCCACACTCAAGTTTTAGATGTGGTCAGTGGTGTAGCCATAGTTTTAGATGTGGTCAGTGGTGTAGCCACACTCAAGTTTTAGATGTGGTCAGGGGTGTAGCCACACTCAAGTTTTAGATGTGGTCAGTGGTGTAGCCACACTTTTAGATGTGGTCAGTGGTGTAACCACAGTTTTAGATGTGGTCAGTTATGTAGCCACAGTTTTAGATGTTGTCAGTGGTGTAGCCACACTTTTAGATGTGGTCAGTGGTGTAGCCACACTCAAGTTTTAGATGTGGTCAGTTAAGTTTCTCGTCAATAACGTAGCTTACATCTGCTAACCTGAAAGTCACGAGTTGTGATCTCGGGTTTGGGTCCATACTCATAGGACGACCTTGAGTCCACTCAGCTCTTATGGGTACCTGTCTCACGCCAGGTAAAACAAGCTGCTTGACATTGTTCTGACCACACGATCCACTTGTAAGCCGATGCCACTTAAATAATATGAACTCTACTTCACCTGCCCCTTGTATCTTCGACAAGAGCGAGGAAAAAAAGATGATGATGAATTTAGCTGAGCTCAAATTTTAGATACTCTCAATTGTGGAGAACCCATCAGTGTATGGGCAGTAAAGCAGCCACACTTAAAGTTAAAACTTGGACCATTTAATTAATTACTATACACATTATTACTACACACAATCGTAATGTTCATTAACAGAACGTAATCAGACAAGTTTCTGTTGAAAATATTTTCAACTGTTTTTCTGTTTTAAAAAATCCGAGAAAGCTTGGATGTGAAATTTCGTCAACATAACAAAAATGGTAATCAAGTTATCGTGTTCACAGAAACACACACACACGCACACGGACGAGATTGCAAAGCCCAGTTTTTTCAGACTCCATGACGCGTAAAACGACGAGATTTTGATACTTCTGGATTTAGAATTGTTGTCTAATTAAAATACGTCCCCTATACTACGTAAATGATGAAGTGTTGAGGAGTAAAACGGTCCAAATTTCAGATTTTTGTGCACCATCACAATAATTCCTCCATACTCGTTATACGAGAAAATAAAAAAATAAAAAATTATTCAATACTTCGTATTGCAATTTGCATTAAAGGAACGATAACTCACTTTATTTAATAAATCAACACGAACTACGTCCCTTGAATTATTTTTGTAATGCGCCTCTCTAATCATAAAAATTATGTAAAAGCCTATGTGCGCACTTCCCCATCTCTCTCTCTTAATTATGCAACCGCAAAACTGTGTATGGCTATGACAAGAACGCTCTGTTTGGAGAACATATAAGTAGTACAAAAACTATAAATGGCAAATAGAATGACGTCACATGAAACCAGAGTTTCTTCCAGGCATCTCTTCGGGGGGGCAAAGCCCCCCCGAAAAATTTTTACCGCCCCCCCCCCCCCCCCCGAACGAAATGAAATTTATATAATTTATATAGAAAATATATACTTTTAACAGTGTCTACCGCCCCCCCCGAAAATTTTAATTGCCCCCCCCCCCCCCCCCCCCTGGAGAAAAAAGTCTGGAAGAAACACTGCATAAAACTAAAAGAGAAATATCATTACGGAACAATGTTTACAAAAAGTTTAAACTACGGAAAGTTCAGAACACTTATGGCTTCATTGATTGTATGATAGAATAGAATTAAAAATCGAATGTCTAAAATGATATACTAATGACGTCATCTTCAATAAAATTCGCTTCCCACGCCTACCAATTTTAGAATATGAAGAAATGAACTATTTAGCAAGACGTACTCAATGAAATGTATACATTTTTTCTCGGCCAAAAATAATAAAAATAAATTAGTTTAAAAATAACAGAAAGTCAATGAATAGCCGGATTTTTAACCGAGTCAACTCACTTGATCAGTGTCTGCATTTAATATGGTGTTGTCGTGATTAATGATATAATTTGGTTTTCATTTTTCTAATAGGTATCGGTAGCCTATGTTATATATAAATTGTGTCTAATCTTTAGCTATTTAGTTATTTCTTTGCTGTGTTACTAATATCGTTCAACGTGTAGTAAAGAACATTGCGTTTTGACCAATAACTATTTTATAAAATATTTATTCTCCAATAAGTATAACATTTAAATACTGTAGGCTTATAATTCACGTGTAGTAACGGGTACCGATGGCTAGTAATTAAATAATCAATTATTAACAAGTAATAAGTATAGTCTTAGTACACACTTATTTTAAAAGTTATACCCATTTAAACATCGGTAATCTGTTTAAAAATATCTCTTTTGTTGTTTTTATATAAGATAACACACTTTGCTACCCACCCATATTTTTTGCTTGTAATAGCAGCCATTACATTCCAACTACTACAGTTTAAATTATCGTCCTTAGATATTTTTTTAAGCACGGTAAGTAAGTAGTATTTAGATACACTTAAGTAAGGCGATCTATAACATCTCGGTTAATATGTTGGCCTGTTTGATCGTTTAAATGTATTGTGTTTTTATATAAGCACACAAAAACAAGTTTTAAAAAAAACTATTTATATTATACTATTCAAGTCTTCTCTAACAATTTGATGCGTTTTTTATTCCGATTTTTTCCAGCATGACAGTAGAATAAAATGTTTATAAAGTAACAGAGTTTAAATTTATTACGTTAATTCCATATAAGATTGTTAAATTAATGTGAGAATAGAGCTATAAGATGTACTAAAATGTTAGCGGATGGCAGAGGCGTCTCAGCCTCGTTTTTACCAAACGGTAACGTCAGACAAGCACCGGTGATACCCCAAATTTTACCCTCTAATAAAATAATCAGCGACGAGGTGTATCAGTACTTCGATGTAATCATCAACTCCTGGATCCTGACTCTTATCTCCGCGCTGGGCATCGTGACAAACTCATTGAATGTCTTGGTGTTCATTAAACAAGGTTTCCGTGACAGTATCAACGTCTCCTTAATGGCCATAACCTTATGGGACTTTCTCAGATGCCTCGTCGGCTTCCTCCACCGGATGTACGTCCCGATCAGCCTCGTTTCTACCGTCTTCGCCACGACATGGAAAAACGCAACTTTCCCTTACGCGAGTTACACCCCAATTTTCGCCGGTTACGTGTCCTACGCCTTGACCACATACGTTTCTATTGAAAGATGCTTATGCGTCAGCCGACCATTCACCGTCAAACTACTTTTCACGCCTCTGTTTACGTTCGCCATGGTAACAACAATTTCCGCCGTCGTCTTCGGGTCTTACGCAGTCATGTATTTCATTTACGACGTCGCTTTTGTGTTCAACGCGAGACTAAACGACACCACCGCAGTATACCAGTACAACAGCTTCTATTACAAAAACCAAAACCTAGTGATGGTCTACTACAAGTACGTCGGAATTCTTCTCCCATTCGGGAGCTTCTTTATTCTATGTGTTAGCTCAGCCACAACCGTATATTTCCTCAAAAAATCTTCCACTTTTCTCAAGCAAGAAAAACGCGACCTCAACGTTTCAATGACTTCAACAAAAAGAGCATCCGGGATTTCCCAAAGAGAAAAACAAGTAGTAAAGATGCTTCTAGTTGTTATTCTGGTCAGTATTGGGACACTGCTCCCACGCCTGGTCTTCTACATAGCACAGCTGCTGGAGCCGGAGCTGTACCTGCTCCGACGCTACAACAATGAGTTCTACGTTGTAGCCATGTGGCTGTTTGCGTTGGATTTCGTCAACGCTTCGATCAATCTTTTCATTTTTCTTGCCATGAGCTCCAACTATAAATCTACTTTTTCTTCTATTTTCCATCACCGAGACAAAAAACCACGAACAATTCTACTTTAATAAAATAAGTTATTTTAGGAATCGCTTCCTGTTAAAAATTTCGATTATTAAAATATTGTGTGAGCTTTTTTAAACGCATTTTGTAGAGATTTGATGTAAGTTGTTTGATCTATTACTAACTATTTAAATAAATGAAGTGTTGTTTTTTACTTTCTCGTATACGATATATACAGGTAGTATTGTAACATTGCAAAAAAATCGAACGTTTACACCTCCTTGAGTCGAAAAAACTTAATTTTGCAATTGTGTTTGTATGTCTGTGTGTGTTTGTCTGTCCGTGAACATGACAACTTTAGTACCGTCACAGTTAGGTTGACGAAATTTCATATATAAGTAAATGTAGTTCTGCATAAACGTTTCAGCGATTTCCAGTAAACGGAAATGGAACTAATTCTACCTTCAGCTTTTTAAAAGCCTTGACAAATGTGTGTAGTACCCACGTCATCCCATTTGCTAGTTAGAGTATTTCTTAATTTATATAATATCAGTGGAGTGATGGCATCGAGTTCCTAGTATAGTAGTAATTTAAATGAGAAAGCATTGATGCTATCAATTAGGCACTGGCGTAGCTATGGTCGTCTCATGAGGGGTTCAAAAATGTAATATATATATATATATATATATATATATATATATATATATATATATATATATATATATATATATATATATATTATGTGTGTATATATGTACATGTTATCTGTTAGAACTTCTTTTATAAAATTGCTGACATCATTTACATAAGAAACAGGCGAAGATGCAATTTTTATGGAAATTTCTTGAAGTAATGTACTCTGAGATGCAATAGTACCATCTCCACATTCTGTTTTACTTTTCTTTATACAGAAATCAATGAATGAAGTAGTTTTTAATCTCTATTTTCCATCACTGAAATTAATTTACATAGTAGTAAAAACATACACATTAAAAACCACTCTGCACATAGAAAGTTGCTACTTAATCAATTTCTTTATTTTTTTACTTTCTAGACTGTTTTCCTATTTGTAGTTTCCTGGCTCTGTATAGGGCTGGTAAGTAGGTCAATAAACAGTTCTATGGCTCATGCAGGTTTTATTGAGCTGTAGAACTGGTTGGTGACCTACTTACCAGCCCTATAACCTAATGAGTTTCTATCCCCCAACAGATCAAGGATTGTGTCACAGCATCCACACCTTCTGGTTGCGCTACAACTAGGCCTACCAACGTTTAGCCCACCCCACACCCTTCGACACCCCTAACTGATCTAACCTTAGCCTTCCCTTGGCCTACTGCATTCCAGATTATATTATTTTTAGATTATTTTATAAATTAATTTAGTGCCATAATAAAAATTGTAACTAAGATGTATAAGCAATTCTCATCACAATGGTATACATTGTTGCTTTTGAGGCTGCCTATGAAAATAGTGTAATAATTTACTGAAAGAGAGAAATTAGGTGCAATAGCTGTAACAAAACTGCCGAAATAACTAGCCATTACCTGTACAAAAGTAATATTAAAAAAAAAAAAATACCACACATGATAAAAAAAACATGATATTTCTTTAAAGTTTACAAAGTTTTATTATTTACAACATTAATAAACAAAACCGTATGTTAAAACAATGAATGATTCACTATTTCCATTACAGTTAATTAATAAATGTATTTAATTAAACCACAACAAAAGTGATGTGCTTAATTGACTGGCAGTGTTCATACATATTTTTTTTGAATACCAAGAATAGTTATCTCCCTTGATAAAAGCATGGTATCCCCTGATTAGTAATACATAGTTGTGATCTGTAAAATATTTCAGCTTTTTTCTGAATTGGGATTTTCACAGATAAAAAAAAACTATCTAAAATAGTTCAGCTGAAAAACCTTGAAGGATGAGTGGTCATTAGCTTTACAAGAGCCTTTGAAAGTGCAACCTTAGATCGTAAAGTGTTCAGTGTTTGAATATTTAACTAAAAAGTCAAGTTGTTTTAATAATAAGTACATCTATAAAGATCTTCTATACACAATTAAAGGAACATTGGCTACATGTCCACTATCAATTGAATGTCACCTACATGTCCACTATAAATTGGATGTCACCAATATGTCCACTAATGTTCCCTCTAAGCTGCGCAGTCGCGCAGTAGTTTTAAGCTGCCACGCAGTGAATTTGTAAAATAAATATATCCTTGTATAAGACTTTCAGAACAGCGCACACAGAAAATACACTTTGCACATTAGCTTTTCACCTACATGTCCACTATAAATTGGATGTCACCTACATGTCCACTATAAAATGTCACCTACATGTCCACTATAAATTGAATGTCACCTACATGTCCACTATAAAATGTCACCTACATGTCCACTATAAATTGAATGTCACCTACATGTCCACTATAAAATGTCACCTACATGTCCATATCAATTTAATGTCACCTACATGTCCACTATAAAATGTCACCTACATGTCCACTATAAAATGTCACCTACATGTCCACTATCAATTGAATGTCACCTACATGTCCACTATAAAATGTCACCTACATGTCCACTATAAATTGAATGTCACCTACATGTCCACTATAAATTGGATGTCACCTACATGTCCACTATAAATTGAATGTCACCTACATGTCCACTATAAATTGGATGTCACCTACATGTCCACTATAAATTGGATGTCACCTACATGTCCACTATAAATTGAATGTCACCTACATATCCACTATAAATTGAATGTCACCTACATGTCCACTATAAATTGAATGTCACCTACATGTCCACTATAAATTGAATGTCACCTACATGTCCACTATAAATTGAATGTCACCTACATGTCCACTATAAATTGAATGTCACCGACAAGTCCACTATAAATTGAATGTCACCAGCATGTCCACTATAAAATGTCACCTACATGTCCACTATAAATTGGATGTCACCTACATGTCCACTATAAATTGAATGTCACCTACATATCCACTATACATTGAATGTCACCAGCATGTCCACTATAAAATGTCACCTACATATCCACTATAAATTGAATGTCACCTACATGTCCACTATCAATTGAATGTCACCTACATGTCCACTATAAAATGCCACCTACATGTCTACTATCAATTGAATGTCACCTACATATCCACTATAAAATGGATGTAGCCTGGATAGTCTGCAGATTCCTGAAACTCGCACAACCAGGACAGGAATGAAGGGTCTCATGTGCAAACAGGTCACAATCCAAACAGAAATGTTGCTCACACTTTTCACACATATACACCTGCAAGAAAAAACAAAAGATACCCTTGTATAGAAAAAAAAAAGATACCTTAGTATAGAAAAAACCAAAAGATACCTTTGTATAGAAAAAACAAAAGATACCTTTGTATAGAAAAAACAAAAGATACCTTTGTATAGAAAAAACAAAAGATACCTTTGTATAGAAAAAACCAAAAGATACCTTAGTATAGAAACAACAAAAGATACCTTTGTATAGAAAAAACAAAAGATACCTTTGTATAGAAAAAACCAAAAGATACCTTTGTATAGAAAAAACAAAAGATACCTTTGTATAGAAAAAACAAAAGATACCTTTGTATAGAAAAAACAAAAGATACCTTAGTACAGAAACAACAAAAGATACCTTTGTATAGAAAAAACAAAAGATACCTTTGTATAGAAACAACAACATAAGAAAATAAGACACAGTTCTACATTCCAAAGAAGCAAGGAGTAAAGACACAACCTCTCCAACCAGCATTCACTCTCATACTTATTCAGCTGATACATTTTAACATATCTTTCATCTAATTTTCCTGGACAGTGCAGAGGTTTGATTGGGTATTAGGAGAGATTACTGTTGGCTACACCTGCCAAATGGAACTGTCAAATAATTACTAATTAAGAATATTAATTAGCAAGCTTAATACTTACATGAGGATCAAGAATTTGTATTTGACAAGCATAACAACACCTGCGATTTTAAAGAAAATAATAATAATAAACTTGATTACAACAAAACTAATTAATTATATTTTAAAAATACAAAATTTGAACAAATAGAGAAGTATCAATTATATCTATTCCATTTACTGAGCTAAGCCCTAACCTTTATTTTGAAATCTATTCTCTCAACCCTGGATATTATTTAACCAATTGTTCTATCAGTTGTAAAGGTTATTTTGTCATATACACAAATTGCATGAAATAAAGTTTACAATTGTTACTAACAATTTATAATAACAAGTACAGAATTATTTTAAAGTAAAATTAAATAAAATTGCTGAAAATTCACCAATTTATGCTAATAGCATTAATTATTTTAATTATGCAACCTCTCTAGTTGATGTTTCAAATATTTAAACGCAGAAGTAGACCGGTTCAGTGTATACATGTCTTAAAACAAAAAACACATATAAAATTCCTGCCTAGAATGTGAAAAATTGGGCAGAATAAAATTACAAAATTACAATGTCTTTGTTGTAATTTAAAAACTGAAATTAAACTCAGCATAATGCCAAAAGGTCAAATACTTTGTTATGTTTAAATTTTGTAAAATTGCCTGTTGGGAATTGACATTCATCGAATGTGAAAGGGAGACAAACAATGAAACGAGACAATGGGTCACGAATGGGATTGGTAAAGCACATGATCACGGCTGTACATGTTAAATGGAGCATCATGCACAAACAAGTAAAAAAAAAAAAAACAACATACACAGGTCCATCTGTAATTATATCAGAGGTGAGAAGTTCTTTGAAAGCTGCAGGTGGGAACAGGTGATGGTAGGACCTGGCCAGGTGTGGTGCTGAGACTAAGGTGAGATCTGGAAGGTAAAGCACAATGGGTAGGTCATTGACAACAGTACAATGGGTAGGTCATCAACAACAGTGCAGTGGGTAGGTCATCAACAACAGTACAGTGGGTAGGTCATCAACAACAGTGCAATGGCTACATGTCATCAACAACAGTACAATGAGTAGGTCATCAACAACAGTGCAATGGGTAGGTCATCAACAACAGTACAGTGGGTAGGTCATCAACAACAGTACAGTGGGTAGGTCATCAACAACAGTACAGTGGGTAGGTCATCAACAACAGTACAGTGGGTAGGTCATCAACAACAGTGCAATGGCTACATGTCATCAACAACAGTACAATGAGTAGGTCATCAACAACAGTGCAATGGGTAGGTCATCAACAACAGTGCAATGGCTACATGTCATCAACAACAGTGCAATGGCTACATGTCATCAACAGTGCGATGGCTACATGTCATCATCAACAGTACAATGGCTACATGTCATCAACAACAGTACAATGGCTACATGTCATCAACAACAGTACAATGGCTACATGTCATCAACAACAGTACAATGGCTACATGTCATCAACAACAGAACAATGGCTACATGTCATCAACAACAGTACAATGGGTAGGTCATCAACAACAGTACAATGGCTACATGTCATCAACAACAGTACAATGGCTACATGTCATCAACAACAGTGCAATGGCTACGTGTTAACAACAAGTGTAATGAATACATGTCATCAACAACAGTACAATGGCTACATGTCGTCAACAACAGTACAATTGCTTGTGTCATCAACAACATAAAAATAATAGCATGAAATGTTCAAGTGATATATTTTTATAACTTCTGAAGTTTTTAGGAAATGTATGTTCAACACAGTTATAAATTCTCTTAGCCTTTCACATAACAGTTGTTCAGCTGAAGCAGTATAACAAAAGAATGCAATAAAATAAAAAAGTAAACTTATAAGCTATTTACAAAAAGTTGACTTTGATACCAATGATAACATTGAAAATTGAATTACTTAGATTTGTTTCATCTTAAATTCAAAGCTGCGACAAAGTTTACTCACTGCAAGCTTTGCATTCAATAGGCAGCTCGCAGTATTTGCTTTTACACTGTGGGCAGAAGTAGCCAGTGGTGCTGAAGCTGTTGGCTGTTTTACTGTCCAGATGACTGGGGAAAAAATTGTATGCATACAAATATAAAATCTGAGGAAAAGAAATTTTGTTAACGTGTGTAAAATCTTGTTAAAATATAAAGTCTTGTTAAATATAAAGTCTTAAGAAAAAATTGAATTTAATAAAACATGAAATACGACATGTGAATTCCATGATTCACACACAAATAGATTTTAAAACAAACTAGACTGACAAATTTTATACATTTTAATGTGCCTCATTAATTTAATTAATTATGAATTATCATTTAATTATTAATTATACTTATTCAAGGCTGTATCAACTATTCGCTACTCTGTTTTCATTTGGTTAAAAGTAAACCAAAATACACACTTGAAAATGCACTTGATTCTAAGATTCATTTGTGTATGTTAACTGAAATTGGCATGTATAATAAGACATGCTACTTACCACATACACATGGAAGGTTTTTGTTCTGAATCTTTGTCCCCTCCTAGAGTGTGATGCGGGAATCCTGTGAAAAAAAGTCAAATGTACAGTATCAACTTGATGATTGATATGATGATTCTACACTGTCAACTTGATGAATGCTTAATAGATTCTGCACTGTCAACTTGATGATTGCCTATGATGATTCTACACTGTCAACTGTTGAAAGCCTAATAGATTCTGTCTATCAATAGGAGACTAGCGTAGCAATGCAACAACCAGCTTGTATAGTAGTCAAATGAGGGAACACTCAATTTATGTTAAAGTTTGATAGCTTTTTAATAAGAATAAAATAGTCAATTATAATATTATAATAAGTATAATTCCATTCTCATTTCACCTTTTAGCGGTTTAATTTATTGTTAATTTGCATCAACTACACTGAATAGACGGAGTGGTCTAGCGGTAGAGAGCTGGACTGCTAACCCGTTAGTCTCGAGTTCGAATCCGAACCCGGCTCTACGATTAATGTAAACATTTAGCGTGAACCACAGCTCACCTGACCACGTGAGGGGGGTGGGGGTGGGGAGAATTATATATAGAGATAATTATATATATAGATAAGAAATAGTGTGTTTTAAATTTAAGGGTCATCTAGTTATGACTTCCATAAATGAGTTGGTTGTTGGCTGTTCCAACGCAGTGTGGAGGGACAGGGGTCCATGCTGTACATTTCGACCTGCAGAATGCTTGTAGGTAATCAAAAAAAATGTCGTTGTTCTGTAAACAACATGTATATCATACATTTAAAATGTCTGTGCCCGCCTATTAAGCAACAGATCTTTTCTGTTGTAAATTAAAGATTATCAAAATTTTAGAATTGGTGGAATTTAGCTGTTAAGGGCTCTATTTTTGTGTGATTTGATGTTGGTTCATGAAAAAAAAAATTCTTTCAGGCATTTAAAAGAAGTTATAGTGGTAGTGGAGGTAGGACAAAATGGTTACTTTTATGCCATTATTGGTCATTGGCTACAGACAAATGAATCGTATGTGTCAGGAGTCATTTTGTCAGGAGCCAATATGTCGGGAGCCCATTTGTTGGGAGCCAATATGTCTGTCATAAGCCAATTCGGGGGAAGCCCATTTGTTGTGAGCTCTTATGTCGGGAGCTGATTTGTTGAGAGGCAATATGTCCTGAGCCTATTTGTCGGGAGCCAATATGTCTGGAGTCCATTTGTCTGGAGCCTAAATGTCGGGAGCCCATTTATCGGAAATATATATGTCAGGGCCCTTTTGACAGGGCTATTTTGACTGGGTGATTTTGTCGGGGGTCAATTTGACAAGGTCATATTGACGGGGCCATTTTGTCGGGGTCGATTTGACGGGGTCATATTGACAGGGCCATTTTGTCGGGGTCGATTTGACGGGGTCATATTGACGTAGCCATTTTGTCGGGGTCGATTTGACAGGGTCATATTGACGGAGCCATTTTGTCGGGGTCGATTTGACAGGGTCATATTGATGGGCTGTTTTGACGGGGTCGATATGATGGTGCACCAAAAAAAGTACACTGGGCAATTATTTTTTCGGTAGGATGAAATGTGGAACTAGAGCTGAAATAAATTTGGGATAAAAGAAGAATATAATTTTAAATTGTATAAGTCACAATGGTGATATACAGAGTAAAACAAGACACAACATATCATACATTCTTCCCTTTCAAACAGCTCTATCCATATCAGTCTTTTTTTTTAAATATTTTAAGCATAAAAAATAGATTTTTAAAAGGTTTTAATGTGATTAAAATAATATTTAGGGGATGCAACACATGATGATTTTAATCTGGTTTTTATCCTTTGAAACTACAAAATAAATAACTATTTTATTGGTAAATGAAGATTTAATGTAACAGCATATTATATTTTGAACATTATCAATTTTAAAGACGATCTATTATCAAACAATTTATTACTAGTTTAAATTGGGTTTTGAACTCCGTGAATGTTGTTGTTGTTTAAGGTTTCAATCATAAGATTATATCATAGACTAGTTTCTTTTTTAAAGATTATTTTTTATTAGCCAATGAAAGTTTTGTTTTACGTTACACAGAGGACAAGTCTAATAAGCTGTGTCAATAGATGGCGTAACAGAATAGGACATTTCAGCAGTTTGTTATCTCCCCTTCTACATCTGTTTACAATCATTGTACATACAATCAAAAATTAAGTAAAATCTGAATAGATCAAAATTAACAGATTATTGCATTATCTTTAGAGATACACTTGTCTACAAATTTAACAGAACATTAGGTATAATTGGGTGAAAAACAGATTGCAGAATTTCTTGAAAATATAAAGGTCAATTTTTTTGTAATTGTAAAAAAAACTTACCCATTCTGATTAGAGAAGACTCAGTATTTGTCTGTGGAAATATAAAATAATGCATTAAATATTTTAAAAGATCTGCTTGAGCCCTGTATTTAACATGAAGTAGTGGGTATCAGCAGTAAAAAAATTCAAAAACCTTGAAGGGCAAAGTATAAAAAGTACTCAAGTGTAATTTTATAGTTTTGAGAAAACCCAGTTATTAAAATGACATTGAAATATCTGGTATTTTCAATAGTTTTATTACATTAAACCATTTGGGCACTTTTTTCATGACCCAACTATACATGTATGGTTCAGGGGATGCAATCAAATATTATGCAGGTCTTTACTCATATTTTTTAAAAATGTGAATCAAGTACTTTTTCACTGTGTCAAACAATATCATAGATTTGTCTACATTGAAGTATGATGTATATATAAAACACAAAGGAAACGTAAACAACTGAAACAACTAATAAATAGAACTAACAAACCAGATGAACTAGCTAACAAGTAAACAAAAGCTAATGTACAAGACCTGCAAACATTATGAAACAATACCTTGAGTAACTTGTACAAACAAAACTAACAAACAAATCTAATGAATACAAAAAAAAAAGTAACTACCATTACAAATATTATAGGACCATCACACAAACAAATCAAACAAACAAACAAAAATGAACAAACAAGCCATACAAACATTACAAAAATACCACAAACAAAACTACCAAACCAGACTATGTCACTAACCGATGCAGGGGGTGGGGTAACATGCTGACTAAGCAGATCTTTGAAATGTGATTCATCCAGAATAACATTGTAGGTACCTGGAAGACAAAACACATTAACTTTATAGAGAAACCTATGTTGTTCTTTTTTTTTCAATATACAAATCATGCATTTTTTTTTAAATTTGTAATTGTAGAATAAAGTTTTACTGAGTGTGTCATACCTGATGTTTGTTGGCACAAGGTCTTACAAATTCTCACTTCTGCTGCTAAGCCTACGACTGAACATCGTACATTAGCATCAGCAACAGTCTAAAAAAAAATTATTTTAAAATCTAAATACTGTTACACACGAATAAAAGGATAAATTAAAAGTATGTCATTGTTGTACAGGACGTTTTTAAATCACTAACAGTAACTGTTGGGAATTCATTTATTTTTTTAAAAAGTGTTTTATTTGTAACATTGTACAAAACGAAAATAGAAATTTATAATAAAAAAAAAACCTTGATGATTTCCTTAATGTCACTAGGGTCACAAGTTGTTAGACTACCCATTATGATCAGAAGCTCTCGACTGGAATGACTTGGCATGTGTCTACAGGGAGATAATTCATAAACATTTTGTTTTCTCAGTAAGAAGAATCATTTCACAGGAAAATGTGCCAAATATACCCAAGTGGTAATTTATTAAATGGTCATTTTTAAACATTGAAATATCTATGCTTCAAAGAGTTAATAGATTTTATAAAGGATTAGTTTTTAATATTCCAAGAAGAGATTGAAAATCAAATACTTTTGAAATGATATTAAATGGAAATGCAATTTCAAACTAAGTGACATTATTAATAAAGAAACTACTCACTTAAGTGAAGCAAGTGCAAGTTCTAGAGAGTTCTGTAGAGAAAATTCACCAACACAAGCTTGAGTAGCTAAAGTCTGAAGTGCTTTTATATGACGGCGAGGATTACCTGCACAAATAAAAAAAACATTTTATATGACGACAAGGATTACCTAAAATTAAAAATATTTTTATTGAAATGTTTGAAAATAAAAGCCCAATACCTCCAAGCTCTGTAACTTTTTCAGCCTTTTTGCTTCTAGACAGAATTAATCCCAGCTGGCTGATTGGGTTCTGGTCAAAATATTCCTCAACGAAAAACTCAAGAAGCTGAAAAAACAACATGGCTGGGACTTAGTCAAACAAACTAAGTCTAAAAATTCTACTAATGAACTATATTCTTCCTTTTTTAGGTATTTTATATATTCTAACATTTTATAAATTGTACTGTGATGGCAATCAAAAATCAATGTTTTAAATAAATTTCACTGCAGCAAGCCTCATTTATGTGATCTACATAGTAATTCTATTTAGTGTGTAATACAAAAAAATAGATGCATAGTTTATGAAAATAATTACACTAGTAATGACTACATTAAAATCTATAATGTTCACAATTAACAGGAAAAAGACACAGTAAAAGAGAAAACAATAAAGTGTACTAAAATAAAAGTTAGAATATAAATTAATAAATTAATAAATATTGTACCTTTAAAGATGCTATAAGGCGTGTGGGCTTCAGATCTTGGTCTGACATTGCAGAAGATGCATCAATTACAATAAACAAATGGCGCATCTACAATGAAAAAGCACACCAGTATTTTTCAAACAGTAATAAAGAAATTAAAAAGTTCCTACACTACAGTTGGTCAAAAAAAGTGATTGAAATTAATATTCAGAGACCTGTGTGGCAGATATAGAGATCTTTAAAAACAAGCAAGATTAAAATACAATTTCGCTACAAAATTTGTAGACACATTTTAAAAATCACACATAACTTATTAAATGTGTAACTGGGTCTAAGATTAACATACCATCCCCAGTCGAACATTTGTAACTCTTTCCAACAGCTGCCTGCGTTTAGCTCGATGAAGAATGTCATCCACGCTGGCCTTAAGTGAACCTGATTCATCTTCATGCAACTCCTCCCTAAGTTCAACAATTCAAAATTAATTTTAATCATCGAATGCACAGTATTTAGGTATGAAATTAAAGAACAAGAATAATAATTTGTGAGGTAGAGAGCACAACTGTTAACAGAAACTCTTGAGTTAGGTTTCAGGCTCATGTCAGTACAAAGTACCCGAGTCTGTGCAGCTGATAGCTTCTAAACATAAAATTGACCACACTATCCCAGAAATGAGTCTTAGAAAAGGGTGAGCTCTAGTTTATCTGTCAGGTCCAAAAAAGTAACTTTTCTATATTAATTAAAATTAATTGCATCTACAAATTCGAAGTTAAATTCCTGCTATAGTCATTTCTTCTTCATGGTACGATTCTATAGTTAAAATATATAGATGTAATGTATTGCGATGACAGGGATAATTTAATTGGTAAATTAAGTAAATTAATCACAAAACGGAAAACACGATTCAACATTGTTCTTCTAAAATTAAACTACCATTAAAAATATAAATAATATACTTTACACATACCAAGTTTTCTCATATTCTGTCTCCCATCTGTAGCCTTTATCATCATCATCAGCCATATTGATGATCTACTTATATGTTCTATAACAAAAGAAATAATGATTTTAAAATAACTGTAAAGAGTATTAAAAATACTCAAAAAGTCAAGAAGTTCTGGATAGTGGATAACGATACTCCACCGGGAGTCCAATCATTCATAATACTATTTCATACTGATACTGGGTTATCTCATAATATAGCGTCGGAAAATTATCCGGTAGTGTTTGTTGAGTTTGTTAACATTTGTTACTGTACAGTAACTGTACAGCATGCCGTAAACTCATAGTTTATTTGACCGTATATTTAACTCAATGCAACGAGCCCGCCGGTTGGTTGAGGCCACGCCGGGGGGACGATCTGTCCGGGATTCAAAGGGTCAATTCTAAATATCATCCAAATCTAGATCTAGGCCAAGTAAAATAAGACGATTAGATTTACTCAAGTTTAAAAGTTGTAAAAAGAACTAGAACAATGTGTTTGGTTAAATATCGGGAAATTACCCCGATAGGGCGAATAAGGCCGGGCGGTACTGACTCAGTCACTGACTGAGTCAGTGACTGGACTGGGGTCTTCTATGATTTATCTAAAATAATATTAAAACATCAAAGCGAGTGTTTATTACTAGATCTACGAGTACCCTTTGAACTATATTTTGTAGTTTTTAAATCAATAGATCTTTTATTTAAATATTTAGCGAAAACTTTGTTTTATTTTTTTAAAAAGTGAGTGCTTCTGGTGTCTGACGACTTTGTTTTACAACAATGCTGCAAGCTACTTTCGGTTTCGTACACAGTAGTTACTCTACTTACCGAGTAAAGTTGTATTTTTTCCAAAAACACATAACCCTATAGATCTAACTACATTCGCAAAAGTCGTTAAAAATACTGAGATATGCAAGGATAACATTAACATAATGGATATGCGAATTGTTTTTTTTTTTCGAAATTAAGCCTAATATTATAGAAACTATGACTGTTTGTCTAAAGTGTATACTCGGTCGGTGTATAGGCCTACCATGCTCATTTTAAAAATATAATTTGACACTAGTTCAAATACAAAATTACAAACTACTACAAGCATTAGACATACCTACTTAAATAATGTGTAGACTTTAAGTTTAGTTCAGTCGATTTCTTTGATCAAAGCTTACTAGAGTAATGTGTATAGACCTGCTGAAGGCAGTGGCGTAGCGAGGTCGGGTGTCACCCGGTGCGGCACTTAATGGTGTCACCCCCCCCCCCCCCAGAGGCGTAGCGACCCTTCCCTCAAAATTTCGATTTGCACCCCCCCCCAAACTTTCGTCAAAAAAGTGTGACGTCATTTGTGGATGACCCCAGAGTCCACCCCCCCCCCCCCGGGAAAATTTACTCCACCCGCCCCCCAAAAGTATACAGCCCCCCCCCCAATCCGGGTTCATGTTAGTAGACCGTCCCTAGTCCACCCAACTCTGATGGGTACCTAACTCACGTTAGGGAAAGTGAAGGCGGTTGGGCATAGTGCTGACCACACTATCCCTCCTTGAATCATAAGCCGATGTCACAGAAACAGGCGAACTTTACTTTTAATTTAAATCAGATTTTGTGTTTTATCACAGTTTTGTTTCTTTCTGGCTGTGTTATGCCTAAGAGAATACGTGTATCCAGTTTGTATAGGCTGTTTATTTTAAAGGCTGTAGTGTAAGAGAAAGGTAGTATAATTTATTTTACACATGCCAAGGGACGTAATAAATATATTATTTTTTTACTTCAGAAAGTATTAGTTGTACCCCCTTCTGAATTTTTTTTTCTTTCCTTAAACAGATTAAACCATGAAATTAAAGTCGATATCTGCATTAATTAATCTCACCTGTATTATTCACCAATATATGTATTGTATCTAGGCCTACTAATTCCTTTCTCCTTGGTACCCTATGGATTTTATTTTGTTTTAACCATTAATACTTTAATTGGAAATAAAGTTTAGAATTAAAAAAAAAAAGTTTAGAGACTTGTAGTTAACTTATTGCAAACAAATGTTCACAGCCAGAGTAAGAAATGTTTTCAAATCTAATTCCTCTTATAAAGAGGTATCTCTGACCTTAAATTTCATGTTTTAGAAATATTAAATTAGATATTTTTGTGCATGTAAATATTATAAACAAATCAGTGAGATGATAGTATTAGTTTCAATGAGGCAATATTATTGTGCATCTTAGAAAATTATGAATATTTTAATTCTACTCTCTCTAGAGTTAAACGCCAAACTGACTTCTATATTGGGAGTGTAACTTTAACGCAAAAGTAAAAACTACCAAGTATTTATTTAGAATTACCAACTAACCTTCTAGCGAGACAGCTTCACCAACCTGTCTTGTAAATAGCTAATCAAACTGAGACAAGTAGATAAGACAATGTGGTCAGCATGCAAGCCTGGAACACAAGTCTTGGTGTCTACTGGTGTAGAATTTGGTGATCATAGCAGTATTTATATGAGAACTTTCAAGACTGAAGAGGTGCAGTGTTTCACGTTAATAGAAGTTAAACATGGGAATTAACCTTAAACCTCAGTTCTGTGATCTTTTTAATAAAAAAATCAGCAAAAATGTGTGGATATAAGATGGCCCTTGTTATCCATAGGATCAATAGCTGATGGTAGAAAAGCACACAAAGAAGCTTCACCTTGCACATGCACTCAAAAAATTTGCCAAAACATCAGGTTACCTCAAACTCAAAACACAACAAGAGATTTTTTTCTTGTAAAGGCACATAGAACTAGTCATAAGTGGGATGTAGTGTTGGGTATTCATCCAAATTTCTGGGTTTCTCAAGAAAACAAAATGTTCTAGGGCTATTTAACACAATTATTATATAGCACAGAAATAATCTGATATTTAATAGATTATGAGAAGGTTTATGTTATATGATGGTGTGGTCGTACGGTAGAGCAGGGGTCGGCAACCTTTTGAAGCGGAAGAGCCAAAAGTTACAATTTTCAAAATTTCAAGGGTTTCAAAGAGCCATTAACACTGTTTTATTTCAAATATTTTATTTTTTTATTGAGATTATTAGCATTTGTTCAAGGAGCTGGAGAGCCGCATCTTGATATCAAAAGAGCCGCATGCGGCTCGCGAGCCGCAGGTTGCCGACCCCTGCGGTAGAGCAATCAACTGCCAACCTGAATGTCTCCAATTTGGATCCTAAGCGTAACAACAAGTTCATGTTACATAAAACAATTTTCCCATATAAGAAAGTGTTAAAGCACTTACAATCAGACTGTTGTAATGAATATAACAAAATAGACTAATACTGGCCAATAATAGTCATTTCTAATCTAACAATGTAAAAATAAAAGTATAAAACACAAAGAATAAATTTTTTTAAACACTTGACAAAAAAACCAACAACCAATTATGAAGTTATAGATAATAATAAAATGTTTTATTTTTTACTGATGACACTAGAGCACTAGGGGAATTACTGTATTTATTTAATTGCTATTAATTTGTAGTTGTATTAATAGCAATAAAAAATATATCAAAACATTACAAATCACACAATAGTTTATTGTAAGAAGAGCTGATTGAATTAACTTTCATGTAAAAATGGAAATAAAAGCATCATGAATAAGCAGGACTAGCATATATAAAGAAGGGAGTTGATAAAACACTTACTAGATGTACTTTTTTTTTTTTGCGGTGTTGTCAAAATAAAGGAACCAAGTACATTTAAATTAACAGTAGAAAAATAATTGTCAAGATGTTCAATTAAATATTCTACTCCAAAAAAAAAATCTCCACATTCTCTAGACGCTACACAGCATTGCTAAAAATTAGGGGAAATTTAAAAATAATCTATTTTCTTGCATTTACTATTTCAAGAAATTCAGGTTTTAGAGAGGCACCTCCAACCAAAAACCCATCAATATCTGGTTTCTTTGCCAGTTCAGCTGCATTAGATCCTTTAACAGACCCTGTTAAAAAAAAATTAAAAGAAAAATATATTTAAAACGCTATTTATTTATCTAAGGTAACATTTTCAAACATCATAATGCAAAATAGAATTTAGTAGTACTGTAAATTTCTATTTAAAGAATTTTAGAAATTAAAATGAATAACTGATGTTGGATTTTCTATAATTGTTGTCCAGATTAAAATACAATTATAAAGCTCAGTTGTAGGAACAACAAAGTATCACTTAAGGTAGTGGTAATCAGTACAGGAATCTGGAGCTTTATACAAGGAATGGAATTAATGACTACTTTACAAACCTCCATAAATAATTCTAATTTTCTTGGCAACATCAGGGGAAATAGTTGAGCTAATCCACTGCCTGAGTTGCTGATGGACTTCCTGTGCTTGTTCAGGAGATGCTGTTTTACCAGTACCAATGGCCCACACAGGTTCATAAGCAATCACAACATGGGTCCAATCTTTTATTAAATCTATGTCAACAAAACCAAAAATTGAATGTATAATTCAGGGTAAATTCTTTTTTTAAATTGTGGTACAGCTAGCAGGGAGGAAGAGAGCACAAATGTTAACACAAAAGGTTCAATTTCAGATCCTGGGTTTGAATCTATAGGACATCCCCGAGTCCACCAACCTCTGATGGGTGCATCCAGGGAAATTAAAGATGGTTGGGCATAGAACTGACAACATTATCCTTCCATATGCAGAGGTTACAAAAAATGATGAGCTCTACTATTATATCTGCACTAAAGGCCACCATGCCAAATTTTAATTTTTTTTTTCTTTATACTTAATAAAATCAATAAAAATTTAAACATATTTTATTAAAAATAAAACGAGCTACATAATGAGAGAAACAAAATATTGTACAACGAGTTACCTGCCAAAGCTTTCATCTGACGATTGATCACCTCCATGGTCTGGCCTGCCTCTCTTTCTTCAAGCTTCTCTCCTACACATGGGATGACTCCAAGTCCATTATCAAGAGCAAATTTTGTTTTCTCAGCCACAAACTTAAAACAAATAGTGGAAAAAGAATCCCCTGAATATTTCTTTATTGTAAAAAGGTATATGAACGAAAGAGAACACAGAAAGGAAATAAAAAACACCACAATACAATAACATACATTTTAATCACTTTAAGAACCAACAATTTTTCCTCAATTGATAAGGTTCATGCTCTTTTTGAGCTGTGGATTTGTAAGATTTTTCTACAATATCTCAGATGGTGAGCAAATATGTTTTAAGCTTAGTATAATTTTAAAAGATATAACTTTAAAGAATGCTTAGTGTAACCCAAGAAGGATGGGTGAATTTACAAAGAATATCTGGATTAATGTATTACCTCAGCTGCTACTTTTTATATCAAATACAATGTATAAAGCATGACCATTTATAAAATGGCATAATATATGAGTAAAAATAAAATGCATACATTAATTGGGAAGTACTGGAGGTACAAAAGCAGCAACAGATTTAAAACTGTCGACATGACAGGATTGTAGACACTATAACACTCACTGTATCTGACTCTCCAAGGATGTGTCTTCTCTCTGAGTGACCAGTAATGACCCATGAGCCTCCAAGATCTTTGATCATCAATGGACTGGAATTTTTTTAAAAGCAATATGCTATTGGGTCAAATATGAAATTCACTTCCTTAAAAACATCATAAGGTTAAAAAAAAAAAGAGAGAATTTAGTAATTTAATATTTAAAGTGAGTATTTATCAATTTAACATTTAGGCCCTAAAGTAAGAATTTTAGCAAATTTTATTGATTTAATATTTAGCATGAAAAGTGCCCAAATAAAGTCTAAAACACAGACACTTTTCAATATTAAAACCAGTATAGAATTCCTATACCTGATCTCTCCAGTGAAAGCACCTTCTTTCTCTTTGTAACAGTTCTGGGCAGCAACATGAACATTGGATGGGAGGTGTTCCCTACTATACTGCAGATAAGGGGCTGGGGGTGCTACTACCACTTCTACAAACAAAGGAAACAAACACAAAAGTTATTGATGACATTAAAAAAACTATTTGTTCAATTAATCAAGATTGAGCACATTACATCACTTGCTATTTATCAGCAGTGAATCTTCTCCACATAATACACAGCAGCTAAAGTTTTTATACTTGGAATTATAAAACCAACAATGATTTTTTACTCTACATCAGGCTTATGTTAAGTAACAAAAATGTAAAAAAAAATCTGTAGCAGCCTACAAATTTTGTGGGAATTTTTATACCAGTGTCCGATAATAGAACCCTCTTAAAAAAGGGGTGTAAGGTTAGTGGTAGTTAACTAAAACGCACACATGGCTTGCTAATGTCACTACTAACCCTATTCCTAACCCCAACCCTAGTCCAACCTTATGCCTAACCCTAATTTCTAACCATATAATTAGCTGAGATTACAAAACTACTAACAACTCAATACACCTATTTTTGGGAGAGTCTATTATCGGACATATGTATCTATAATCATCCAAAAACAGGAATGCTATCTATATTCTTGCATTGGCATCCCAGATTTACCACTGTGCCAAATTCCAGCTCAATCGAACAATGGGAAGTGGATTAAATTAATAATCATAAATATTCCAAGATTTGTGGAGCCACACACAAACATACTGAGCAAGCTAAATAATAAATATTAGGCTTAATAAAAAGCTAAAAGCCTTTTAATTACTTTAAAAAACAGGCCTAATCCTAATAACCCAATATTTAAATAAGTTTAAGGGGTCAGCGTGGTCGAGTCGGTAAAGCTCTTGGTTGCTAAACCGAAAAGTCTCAAGTTCGAGCCCTCGGGCAGATGAGGCTCATTAGCAGGGGACATCAACTCTTCTAGGAGAGACAACTCTAAAATCAAATAACTGCTGCCTTGTAGTTTGTTCTTGGTTGGACAAAAGCTATGGAAGCAAATCCAAAAAGAAAAGCAGGCTGAAATCGGAGTCAATGGCCTCAATAGCCCATAACCAGTTGACACATATACTTAATTGTGTTGGAAAGGATCCCTTCAAACACTAAAATTAAGAACGAAGCAAGTAGAGAAATAAGTTTACTTTAGTTTTCAATTTTAATCAAGACGGCCATCCTGTTTTCACCAAGCTTCTTTTGGAGCTTAATATGGGTAGTTTAGTTCTATACGGTGAGAGCTTAATACATTTTTAAAGTGCCGAAAGTCTCAAGACAGCAAGCTTGCAGAAATAACCACGTACATTAAATGGACGAGTAATAGATGTGTTAGGGGCTGTTTAATGAACACCAACTTATGTAATCTAAACATTGCATAAGTCAAAACGGCAGTGCTTGTTTTTTTTCTATAAAATTAGCCTAACGGTCGACGGTACCGGTACATAGCGTCACGCGAGCGTTAACTCGGTGGGGAATGAAAAGGTGGGGTTCAAGAAATGCGACTCAGCATGCTTTTTACATTTCTTGACCCTTCTGAATAGTTCTATCGTCCCCACTGAGAAAATTGATCACCAATGAATGACGCGTCATACTTCTACAGCTGGTCTTTCTCCCACAACTATCCCTTGTATTCACGAACAAAAAAACCCTGACCCGTCTCCAAAATCACATCGCTGAGTTTTACTCAACCTCTCCCCACCACAAATCACAATTTCTATCTGAAACAATATGTTCATATGTTTGTTCTGTAATAATGCACGCTGTCATTACTATCTTAAGAGCGATGTCATTTATGAGCTATCTAATATTGATGTGATTACTGCAAATAAAGTGTTCAAAAGTTCGACCTCCCAACAATTGTTGTGGTCTTGGATGCACACTATTAAGTCTGAAAATGTCTATTAGTCATTCATGTCAACTATATTGAAAAAAAAAAAGAAAAATTACTATACAGGCATATTTTAAAACAATACAAAAACAATCATATTAAACCACAAAATCAACACAAAAGACATGCGAATAGACAATTTTTCAAGGGAAACTACTCTATTATTGTTTTTGAAACATGGCCACTGCTTGTATTTACTCATTATTGTCTCGAAACGGGGTAGTTTAACGTTTATTCCAGGATATTTATGACTGGTTTGGTCTTGGATTGTGATTTGTTATTCAATTATCTGTAAAGTTATGTAAAATATGACATAAATATTAAATATGGCCAAATGAAAGAAATATTCATTAGTTACCTTCATCGCACATTACTAGATCTAGCTAGCTACGTTGGAATTTACGACGCTAAACTAAGATTTTACCCTACTCTCTCTAGATCTACTACTAGACTAGCTAGGCTAGATCTCTAGACTCTTAAAGTCTAGGGCTAGATCTAATCTAGATTCTAGATCTAGACTAGATCTAGATATCTAGATTCTAGATCTAGATTCTAGAGCCGCTAGACTAGCGAAATGTGAGAAGAAAATTGAAAATGTACCAACCAGCATTCGGATCAATGGGACCTTTTTTCATCCATTGTACAATTTCATCAATTGATTTCTTGTCCCCATTCATCTTCCAGTTACCCCCTACAAAGAATTTACGTTCTGAACTCATTTTGCAGATGTTTGTAAAATAGAGAATATGAAATGAACTTCACAAAGATGTGAATTATGCGGACAGGCGAAGTAACCCTAAACACCGGCGAAGAAGACCTTGGAAGAAAGGTAAAGGTCAAGGTGAGGTCAACATGTGGGATTTGTGATTGTTTATTTTCGTACAAGACTAAGTCAAAATAAGCTACTAGCCACAGCCTTTTATCTATGAGATTTATAATTTCAATACTATCAAATCTAACAACTTCAAAATTAACTTTTCTAAAGTAGTAATTAGATCTAGATCTAGAAGATTTAGATCCAAGTTTACTACAACAACGTGCATATTATTAAATATTATAGAATAGACCTACCCTGCTGAAAAATATTACATAACCCAGTATTAGGGTCAGCGTGTTTACGTATTTACTTCACGCTTCTAGAATAGATTCCCGCGTAAAACTAGATCTAGATCTACATGCCAATATATCTGGAGCTACAGCTAGATCTAGATCTATATCTTATTTAACAAGATTTAGATCTATGTTCATTAAGCTAGATCTAATTTACATTCATGATCTCAAGACCTAAATTAATTTTTTCAGGGCTACATTAAAACATTTTAAAAATGTAAGATTCATAACCGGCTACGTTTAAAACTTTAATAAATCAAAATTAGTAATATTAATAATTGGTAATCTATCGTTTTGGGTACGTAAAATCGCCCGCAATTTGTAATGTGAAAAACAGGTGACTCCTTAAATTTTAATAATTATTTCACATTTTGAGGAGGATTTATGTTTTAAAAAATTCAAAAATGTTTCCTTGATTCATTTATGTACCTGTTTTTAAACAATTGAATTAAAACTTTTCCGTAATAAATGAAGACTAGCGATGTTTCCAACAGATGCAACCATGCTCATTTACTATAGCAGTCATCTTGTCTAAGTTTTATTTTTATAAGCTTTTAGCGCCAGATTCAGGGGGAAGCCACTCTATTTTACAAATGGCTGCTGTTTATATAGCAAATCTTGCTCTCAGACACTGCTGTTTAAAGTTAATTTCTGGCCTATATCGATATATTTAGCCATTGATTTAGGTTTATTATTCATTTATCTATAATATTTGACACAAAAGTATGACAATATACTTCTATTAAAGCCTTGACAATGAGGTAACGTTTTCGTACATAAATAGCCACGGGCGATTTTACGTACCCAAAACGATAGATTACCTAATAATTGCTATTATTAACTTTATTACATTAGTATTAGTCTAGTATTAGACTATAGTTAGCCTATAGGCTACTAGAATTAGACCTAATATTAGTCTATTTAATATAGATTATAGGCCTAGGCCTAATAATAAATTAATTTAAAAAATGGAAGAGTTCTAACAATTCAATACTATTACTATTGACTTGAGGAGTATTGATAATCATTTAATCAGTGTTTCTTCCAGACTTTTTTGGGGGGGGGGGGGGGGGGGGGGGGGGGCGAAAAAAAAAGCATGTTTTAATGTTTTTTTCAACTCTATTCAGCATGTCTCCACCAACTGAATCCCTAACCAGAACATCAAGAACAAGATTAGCTAAAAGAAAATTAGATGAGAAAACAGTGACAGCTTCAGAGACTGAAGCTTCAAGTAGTCTACTCAAGCAGAAAAAATGCAAAACAGAAAAAGAAACTTGTCACGGAGAGAGTAGTGCAGCAAAATTAGATAAAAAATCTAGCAAACTGATTGCTTCCGAAGGTAGTTTAGAGTGTTAAAATAATACACTAATTACTTACTTTACTATGTTTATTGTGCTGAGTGAACATGCAGTTAAAAAAAAAATGGTTAGTTTGCTCTAGCAGAAATTATAGGCCATCCGTTTAAACTGTGCTTTAGGACTAGCTGTTCATCTGCTCAGAAAGTCCTACTCATGTATTTTAACATAAACTAGTTGTTTAATTTTTAATGATTTAATTGTTCATGTTTACAGATTCCAAGACTAAAAGTAAAACAAGACAGGGCACCAAAAAACTATCTTCATGTGAAAGTGACAAAAAGCCAGAAATTATTGATGAAAATGTGAACAGGACGACAAAACCTGAAACATCTGCCGATTCAGCAGTAATTTCATCAGCTTATTGGAGTAGCAAAAAGTCTAAGGCTAAAACAACAGTAGCCACAACTAAGTGTGAAAAATCATTTACAGCAATCAAAACCAATACTAAACAATCCAACCAATCAATTTCCAGTTCAACAATTAATGCAATTGGAAAATCACAGACCAAAGCTAAGTCAAAGCAAAGTTTCAGATCAAAGCATTCTCCTAGTGAGATAGAAAATCTCTCACAAAGCCACCATGGATTATACCAAGGAAGTGAACCTTCAAAACCCATGCAATCTACAGCAGAATGGTGGGCTCAGATCAATTTTGAAGAGGACAGACTAAAAGCACAGATGCCTAAATCTTTTTGTTGGCCTAAGCTGCTGGATAAAAGTAAAAATGTCTTTCATTTGCTTCTACAAAATACAATGAGATGTTCGCCATTTGAGAAGAAACAAGTATGTCCTTTATTTGCCTTTATAAAGATTTTTTTTGTACAAAATTAAAAATTCTTTTGGTTATTAAAATCTAAAACTGATTGGTGAGTAAATTGTTAGAAGCCACTTATCTGTAGAATATTATCTGCTGAGCTTTTTAGTGCAAAATTTGTGTGATTATTCAAGAAATGAATAGATATTTATTTATGTTAATTCCGTATTCAGTCAACACTAATATTGAAAATTGACACAATAGTCTATTTTTTGTATTAAAACAGCAATTGCAGTTTATTAAGCTAGCCTCTGTCAAAAACATGGACATAGACATTAACCATAATTATTGCTGTATTAATAGTAGATTATTTTTTTCTGACACAAGTTTGATTTATTTTTGTTTACTAAGATCAACAGAATTTTAAAAATTAAATTGGTGTTTCTTGGATGTGTGTTTGGAAGTTATGACTTGACTTTTCAAGAATTTCATTATTTGTAGTGCATATTTTATGTAATGAACAATTTTCATGTAACTAATTAAATGATTACAGCTCTTTTCATGTATCATCACAGAGTTTTGCCAGGAATCAGGTCATCTCAGAGTTGCAGGAGTATGACATTGTTTATGGAGATCATCCCTTCAGTAATAGAATAACCACCATAGACTGGCACCCAAGAATAGACAACCTATTTTGTGTTGGAGCCAAGCATGGGGATATAGGATTTTACAGATTAGCACCTGAGTCCATTTCACAGACAAAACAGATAAAAGTTTTTAATGGAGTGAGTGATCAAATACTTTTAAATCTTACTGCTCTATTTCATTTTTGTTACTTTTTCAAAAACAATTTTAAATTTGTTATAGATATATCAGTTTTTTTCCACCACTAAATACAGCAACCAGTTGTGCATAATTATGATCATTAGCGTTCCCTCTGAGGGGGAAAAGCTAGTGTGCAAAATGAATTTTGTGTGTGCGCTGCTCTATATGTCTTATACAAGGGTATATTTATTTTACAAAATCACTGCACAGCAACTCAGAACTACTGAACGGCCGCGCAGCTTAGAGGGAACATTGATCATTAGGTTCTTTCAATTCATTCCTTTATTCTATTTTAGCCACATATTAAACATAATTTAAAAAAAAAATATGTACCTAATATGTTTGTTGGCCTACTCAGTTAAAAATAGCCAGCATTTTGTTAAAGTTATATCTATTTTGGGTGCATAGATAGGTCCAGGTGGCTACATTTCTGCTTTCAAGTTCCATGCGACAGATGACAACAAATTTTACACTTCATCTCTTGATGGTAAAGTCTGTCTTCGGGATTTGGAAAAGGACTATGCTGAGGAGCAAGTTTTTTTAAACACATGTTCTTGGGAGTACGTTAACATTTGTTTTCATTTTTTTTAAATTGCTTATTCATCAATTTATGTTTAGTGTTGCTTTCATGCCTATCTTTCAATCCAATCTTACACAACAGAAAACAAATTCAGCAACCAATCAATGAAACCTATGCTTCAAATCTCAAATTATGCATTTTATATGTCAAGACTCATAATTTCTACGTTATTCAATTTGTATGATACTGTTTATTTTTTATTATTCATTTTAACTTATTATTTTAACTATTACCATATTATAATATCCAAGTTCATTTAAATAAAAATGTTCCTTGTATAGACACTGGCCCCTGCCCACCCCACTCAGGGAAAAATTATATGGGGAACCTGCCAAACTGGAGACCACAGTCCGGTTTGTTCACGAAGTTGGACTTGTTGTCTGAATCCTCCACCATATTCTCAATTAAGAACGAAGAAGAAGAAGATTTAAGTAAAACTAATAAACTTATTTATTTCTCCAGACATTGGTATTGTTCACTCGATGTCCACAAGTCAGATAATTATCTTGTTGCTGGCGCCAACAATGGGTTGACACATCTCCTTTCAAAATCTGGTGAACCTGTGAGTTAGGAATAAATAAAATTGTATCAGATCTATTTAAGCTTCCATTACACATGTATAGGACTACAAATGAATAAAGTGACTTTTTAAAGATTATCCTTTGAAGCTACATTAATTTAATATTAATACATGTTCCATCATTATTCTATTAGCATTTTGATAACTGTTAAACAAATTATTTTTGAAAGTTGTCAACATTATATTCTTTTTTTTTTATATTTGAACTGTTGAAAATTCATTCCTATAATTCCTATAAATATAACTATAATTTTTTATGTAAATCTGTAGGTTTGGCTTGAAATTATGACTTCGAAATTTTCAAAATGCTTAAACAGTAGTTATTCCAAAAATCTGTAGATAGTTTTAAACATTAGTTATTCAACAGTGAAAATATCATTGCAAATACAGGCCACTATTGTTTCATTTGTCTGTTTTAGATCTGGCAGAAACGTTTACACAACCAGAAAGTCAGCCATCTTGAATTTTCTCCTCGTGAGCCATATTTGTTGTGCTCAGCTTCTTTGGACCACACTGTCAGAATGTGGGACCTTAGGATGATGATTGACAAGAAACCACTAGATAGTTTGAAACATGACAAGGGGATCAACTCAGGTAGGAGGGAGGTTAAATTTGTAACTGTCATGTTTTTACTGGTATGTATAACTTACAACATATTTGTTTCAGTATTATTTGCCCTGGTCATAATTCTATAATTTCAGTATGTTAAGTTAAAATAATCATGGTAGTGTTTAGACTCTTCATTATTTTTTATAAATAAAAATTGAATGCAATTAAAAAATTTTTTTTTACCCAGACATAGTTTGGAACTGTGTTTACAGCTTATGTTGTCCCTATGTAATTGAATAGTTACCAATTATACTGCACATACCCATGATTTTAAACATTTTTAATAAAAAACTCTTAGAAAATATATATTGGTCTTTATTGTTGAGATTGTTTCAATTTTAAAATATTGCACTGCCATTGAAAAGTATTTTGCATTTCTCTTTACTGGTCCAAAACATGTCTTCAAATATCTACTTAGAAATTTAAGCTCTGTAATTATCTTTTGATTACCCAGCATACTTCAGCCTAACAGATGGCACCAGACTACTGACCACTGACCAGGGAGATGAGTTGAGGGTATACAGGGCACCATTCTGGCACCTGGAGACAACAATTAAACACCCACACAGGTTCTTCCAGCACCTCACACCAATTAAGGTTACCAATTAAAAACTTTCATGTCAGATTGTAGAAAATGTATAACCTCACCAATTAAGGTTACCAATTAAAAATTGTCAGATTATAGAAAATTCATAACCTCACTAATTAAGGTTACCAATTAAAAATTTGTCAGATTATAGAAAATTCATAACCTCACCAATTACGGTTACCAATTAATAATTGTCAGATTATAGAAAATTCATAACCTCACCAATTACGGTTACCAATTAATAATTGTCAGATTATAGAAAATTCATAACCTCACCAATTACGGTTACCAATTAATAATTGTCAGATTATAGAAAATTCATAACCTCACCAATTAAGGTTACCTATTAAAAACTTTCATGTCAGATTGTAGAAAATTTATAACCTCACCAATTAAGGTTACCAATTAAAAACTTTCATGTCAGATTGTAAAAAATGTATAACTTCACACCAATTAAGATTACCAATTAAAAATGTTCATGTTAGATTGTAGAAAATTTAAAACCTCACACCAATTAAGGTTACCAATTAAAAATTGTGATGTCACATTGTAGAAATTTATAACTTCACACCAATTATGGTTACTAATTAAAAATTGTAATATCAGATTGTAGAAAATTTAAAATGATATCCTTTTAAAATTAGAAATGCAAAAGTCATAGCTGACACCTTTGGTAAAACAAATCAGGGAGTCAAAAACACATAATGAATTTTTTAAATTCTGGTTTTATTTATATTTAATAACAATCATTGTTGCTTAGTTAAAAAAAAAATTTCTTATCATTTCACATTTTTAATCTTAAAAAAACACACAATAATATTAATTTTGAATGTTAGAACCAAGATTTGATTTTTGACTTGATCTAAAAATACTTTTTCATATTGTAATGTTTGAAAATATAATATTTATACCCACTTGAACACAATTGAAATATTACTGTTTTATTCTGTTTAGCCATTGTGTTCATAGTTTTTTGTGATTGACAGAAATTATTCAAATAATAGTACTACTTAATTGTGTTTAGCATTATGCTCAATTGTCATTCATCTATTTCAGGCATGTTGGCATCCTCTTGCTGATGTTATTGTTTGTGGGCGTTTCCCAGACAACCGTCAGCACCCTCAGTATGGCGACAGGAGGGCCATAGATGTTTTTGATGCAACATCAACCTCAGTGCAAGCAAACATCATGAGTTCTCAACAAAATGGAATAATATCAGTAATTTAATGTTTGTTGCATCTCAAGTTAAAAAATAATTTTTAGGTTTCATTTTTCTTTATTTAAAAATTAGAGGCTAATCAGAGGTTTAGTATTGTGCTGTGGATAGCAGAACTATGCAGAAAACAATTGTCAACCCAATACCAGTGACTATATCAGTTGTGGGAGTTTCTAGTTATATTACCTAACTAGAAACATAATCAAAACTGTGTGCAAGTGTTAAATAATTTTGAGCTGTGTAAATGCTTGGAATCATGTGGTTGTGCAAACATCACAAACTCAAGTATTCAGAATGAAAACAATGATCCTCCAGTATTAAGACTTGTATCCCTTAATTAAAAATAGGCCATCCTTATTTGATGAGCAATAAGTATAGGCAGCTGGGCATCATGGTGTAGTCCCCATTGACACAATATTCATTTAATTTTTGTTATGGATATTAATTAAATTTAAAAGTTTATTGATAGTAAATAGATTTAGTCTCACTTTATCTGTTTATCTTTCCTAATTTTCAGCTTTGTAAATTTAACAACACTGGTGACAAACTACTAAGCGCGATGGGTAAGCAACAAGTTTTTTACAGTTTTTTTTAGTTACTTAGCTTCAGCCATGTAAATAGTATAGTGTCACAATTTCCTGTTATGTTATTCACATCTTTAACTTCCTTGAAAATTTATTTTTTTCAATACACTGTAAACACTATGACTGAGTGGCCTAGCGGCAGAGAGCTAGACTGCTAACCCGAAAGTCTTGAGTTCAATCCTGAGTCCACCCATCTCTGATGGGTACTTAACTCACGTTTGGAAAAGTAAAGGTGGCTGGTCATAATGCTTACTACACTATCCCTTCATATGGCGAGGTCACTGAAATCAGGTGAACTCTACCTTCACTTGTCCCATAGACCTCATGTTTTGAAAGGGGAACTTTACTTTTACTATCAACATTTTTTTTTTACTTTTCTTATGTGCAGCTAAGATTTTGAAAATCATGTTTTCTGATGTAACAGTTTTTAAAAAAAAAAAAGATTTTCATTTTAATATTTTTAATAGAGTGCTAAAAAAAATATTGACACATAATTGTTACAAGGCTGTGTACTAGTTTTCTCAGCTTATACATGTACCTGGCCTAATATGGGGGGGGGGGGAATACAGCTGGGCCTTTTGTGGTATAGGTTTGTTAAGTTTAGGTAGGTGTGGTCAGGTGTAGTTTACCCCAGTAGCGTAGGGGGGGGGGGGGGGACATATGTCCCCGGGCGCCGACCTTAGGGGGCGCCAAAATGGGTTGGAAAAATAAATTGAAAGGTTGAGGGGGGTGAAAATCGAAAGTTTGAGGGGGGGATGCAAATGGAAATCTTGAGGGGGGGTGCAAATTGAAAGTTTGAGGGGAGTGCAAATCAAAAAGTTTGTCCCCGGGCGCCGGGAAGGGTCGCTACGCCTCTGTTTTACCAAGATGTCTCAGGCTTGAGACACTAGAGCATCCCTAAATAGGTGACACCCACATCTGACTCATGAGTAGATGCTGCTGGTGTTAGTGCAAGCCACAAAATCTCTTAAATGCAGAGATCATAGTAACAGACTAACTCTACTGCATCTGCCATATGAAGTGGGGGGGGTTTTAAAAAAAAAAAAATTTACATTGATCTCTGCTCAACACATTAAGAGTGATATATTTTACTATATATTTTTACAAATTTAATTAGATTTCTTTTTTGTAGGGTACAACCTTCACATTTGGCAAGCCTTACCATCTAAGCCAGACAGCCCAACATCAAATATTCATGGTGATTTATTGAAGACCTCTGAGAGTCGCCCTCTCCCACAATCCAAACGTAAGAAAAAGCAGGACAAAACAATTGATGTGAAATTAAAATTGGCATATAAAGAGGAAAAGAAGACTACCAAAAGTAAAACCTTAAAAGATGGAATAAAGGGAAGTAAAAAGGGAAAGAAATAATAATGTATAGGCCAATATTGTGTTCTTTATGTTCTAAATAGTTCTATGGGCATTTAAATAATGTAAAAAGTGTTCAATTTTTGTTGAATGTAACAATAAAGTTCTTTATTTTGTAATTTTGTTTATGGCATTTATGATCTAGTATAATATTCCAAATAAACTGAATATTTTTATAGGAATTATAAAATACAAACTTTTTATCTAGTTTGCAACGTCTGTTGGTATGTTTGTTATGGTTTAACTGAACAAAACAAGAGCTTTGTGATGAATCAAACACAAAACTATTGAAATTTTATATTTTCATATTTATTTATCTAATTAATTTGTTAGGCTAAGATTTAAATAAAAATTTGATAGAAATTATTTATTGCACATAGGAAATGACAGAAATTAAATGAGATGAGATGGAAAAGCACTCAACTATACATTTATTTTAAGTAAAAACTGGATAAGCACATTTTGCTTCAATCTTGGACTGTTGTTTTCCAGTCAGAAACAATCTTGAATAACAGGTCTAAATTAAATGATCAAATAAAAAAATGTTTGATGTGATACATACAGCAAACCAAACAATTATCAATTTTATGCTGACAAAATAGTTCTTGTTGCAACAACTACTCAGGCAGGATTATCACATAACATACAATGGGTGGTGCTAAAATCTAGTCGAACAAAGTCTTTACCCTCTTAATTAAAAAATTTCTAAATTTTTTTGAATAGCATATATTGTTTTAATCATGTTTTATAATTTCTATTTCTAATAATTTATTGTTTTGGAATCCGATCACAATAAAAAAAGCCTCTAAAAGATTTCTTTTGACATATCACATTTGCTTGTTTATAGTTGTTTTCTCTCAAGATGTAATGTCAGCTCTACCTCATAGTAATGTCATTCCCAAATTTACACATCTAAATAACTAACAAAATTGTGTTGCAAAACTAACAATGATTATTTCAATAATTTTTCAAAAGCAAAAAATTTAACAGTACAGAATGAAGATTTTATAATCGTGTATGCAGTCGTGATACATTATTTTAACTAATCAAACTATTTGCAAAATCACTAGGGTACAAGAATTGCTATTAACACTGGATCCATGACATTTTGTGCTATAAGTTGAGTATTGAAGGTTTAAAGCAATTTTTGTGTACTGGAAGACATTTATTAGTATGCTAAATACTACAGACAGCATTATCTACTCGGAACTGCTTTAAAAGTTTTATTCCTAGGAATTAGAATTTTTTAATGTTTTGATAATTCAAATATTTTTTAAATAATTTTTATTCTATTAACTTTATTAATAGTCTTTTTAATATTTAAGAAGGAAGGAATGTGCATATTTAAATTACACAGTAATTTGTTGTGGATTCCAGTCCATATGGCATCATAGTGTAAAGTGGCAGGCATGAATAACAAAATAACAAAATAGTTTCCTTATCACCAGCCTAAGACAACGTGATTAATGTTTTTGATGTTCTCATTTTGAAGCCTTCTCTACCTGTGACCCAGCGACAGCCAGCACCTTCTCCCCAGAACCTGAGGAAGCAGAACAAAGAGTTTAACACAACAAATGAAATATATATGTATATATACATTTTTAAGTTTGTATGTCTTAAGAACACAGACACTGTATTAAAAATATTTTGCTGGCTCCCCCACCTTGGCCCTGTTATAGACAGGAACTGATGAAGGCAATGAACAATGCGACTGTGTTACTCTATTGTGTTTCTTGGAGAACTTTTGCCAGTTTATCATTATCAATGCTGTAACAACTCGTATATGATCCATAGTTGTTATTGTCAGTTCTTTCATCCAAGAACACTATCAACAGTGCTTTTTAACTTTATTTACATAGATCCACAAGAATAATGACGATAATCCATAGTAGAAGAAATGACTATCATATTACAATCTAGAAACAAAGTGACGTGGTGACATCTTACATCCTACTACACAGGCAGGCACCCTTCGTCCAACTTGCGCTCCCCTTTAATACCTTACATTCTCTCCCCTTACCTCAGTGAGCGTTCTCACAAAAGCATGGAAAAACATGACAAGTCACTCACACAGTCCTTCTGTTGGCCAGGTGCTCTACATTCATACAACTTCATGTTAAAATACAATATAATAATCATACCCAATAATACAGTCTGTTTCAAATGCTACTAAATCTAGGTTTTAGTTTTAGAAGTTGAAATTACCAATATCTGCTGAAACTCTTTCAAACTCTTTTAAGCTTCCTGAGGAGTGCTCTTGTAAGTATGCTATCTCTGTGGCTGTTAAAGTTTCTCCTAATTTCTTCAAGGCTGTCAGTATCTCAACAGACTGCTGAATGGCTTGTTCTTTGGGTAATTTTCCTATTTTCTCATCTCTACTGATCTGTAACATAAAAAGCAGTTTGTTCGTGTTAGAAAATGACACTAAATGCAATCTACATCCCTCTATATTTTATTTTCACAGCTAAAATATTTATATTGATGTGGAAAGCAAATAATCCGTAATTAAACTGTAATTAATTCTAAGACGGTAAAAAGCTGTGCATTAAACAAGACAAAAGTAAATAGTTTTAGAATGGAAATAATTCATGATTTTTAAGACTTTACAGACATTGGACAACTAGTCTTGAGGAGGAAGAAGTGTTGAGAAAGTCTGACAACATAGATTTGAATTTTAAATATTAATGTTAAAAACATAATTTTTACAATTATTTCAAGGTTGTTTTTTTTTTCCATATTAAGATAAAAAAAATTGGTCAATATAATTAATCAATGTTGACAGAGGTCAGCAAGTATTGCAAAAAAAAAGGCTTTTTTGAGGAGCTGCATGGCTAAGGTATGACGTCATTTTAATTTTTAGAGTGAGGTCTGGCTTTTTGAAAAGAAGGTTAAAGGCATTCATCATTTTTGGATGACCCATAAGCAGTTTCTTCCAGGCATCTCTTCAGGGGGGGGGGGGGGGGGGGGGGCCAAAAATTTTTACCACACCACCCCCTTTTAACAGTGTCCGCCCCCCCAAAGAAAGTCTACCGCTCCCCCCACCACCCCCGAAAATTTCAAGTGCCCCCCCCAGAGAAAAAAGTCTGGAAGAAACACTGCCCCATAAGAGCCATTTTTAACAATATAACTATTAAAAAGACCAAGACAGATACAGTTCAGAGAATCTACACTGGAGACCTGGATTATAACAATTTATATATTTATTCTGTTGCTGTATGACAGTTCATGTTTTATACTCACATCAGACAATCTGGAGCGTAGCTGACCAGGCTGTTTCTTAGCAAACAACTGTATGACTTCTGGTGTCTTGAAGGCTTCACTTATAGCTGCTTGGATAGCCTACACATAACAAAATATTTGTTTATTGGAGTGTTACGATAATATGAAAAAAACATGCTGCAATTATAGCTGCTTTAATGGACTATGAGTAACAAAAAATGATACATTAAGCTACAATAATCATAAAAGTGCATCTGCTAACAAAATCACCTTACAATAATATGTTGATAATCATAAATGTTTTTTAGCTATTAAAGAAAATATGTGCTAATTATATAAAGAAAAAAAATTAAGCATGTAAAAGTTAGGTGAGGAGAGAAAAACCATTCACATGCAGCAAACGAAAAAAAAGGTCCAGCATTGGAATCTCCATTATTTCACACTTCAATGTGCTCAATGAGTTGATAAGTTACAATACAACATTAATCATCTCACCAGCTGCATTCCATTCAGTTCATCCACCAAACTAAGATTCCCTTTGACCATCTTGTTTAAGTTCTCCTGGAATTCTTTCAGCTGCTCTACTGTCTCCTTCTTTGTGTCCTCATACTCTTCTGGCTCCAAGTCTCCCCTGGAACAATTTAATTGGTTATATGAGCTTAATATAAGATGGCTATATTTAAAGTACGTATAACAAAGACAAATCTTTTAAATGTCATACAAACAATCAGAACTTCAGTTGTTAACAATAAAGCTGTTACTTTAAGTAAGGAGGTTGTCCATGAAAATCATACTTTGTTTTGACTTTGGTGATGTGATGAAAAAGAAAGTTTTTTTCTGTTATCTATTTCACATTCTTAAAACTATATTTTCGAAAGAATAAGGGTGGGTGGGTGGGGGGGGGGGGGGACTAAAGTGTATGTTATTTATTTTAAGGGTTTGGGTCTAACTATGTGGCGATGTGTGACACTGTTGAAGCAGAGGATGGGTTAAAATAATCAGTAAAAATAACACAGCCACTGTGATGTCAATTCTGGACAACCCCTAAAACAAGTATAACCGATTATAATGACACCATCTCCAATCTAAAATAGTAATTGATGTAAAATTCTATAATGGTCATTCATTATATGAGTTAAAGGCAACTTACTTGCACTCTTCAAGATCTACCAATTGTTGCATCAATCTGTCTAGCTGTTCTTCCAGGTTTTGTTTGAGTTTTGTTGTCTCTTGAGTCCCTCTAGATGCCATCTTAAGCTTTTACCCACGTATCACAATCAGAGCAGTTCTTATTTTGGAAAAAAAATGTAAGGTGATCTTTTTAAAATCATATGCTACTGCATATAGTCTTACAGAGAGTACTAACAACACACAAACAAAATCTGACTAGCCAAATTCTACTCTATGGTGTAATATATTTTGTGTTACATTTCTTTGATATAAACTACTAGAAAAAGATTGAATGCTAATAATTGACTGTACTATTAATCAATTAAGCTTTCTGTTTCCACCCTCTAAAATAAAAATTGTATGTTAATGACACAGTTAATAGTTATTGTAATGCGCTTCCCCAAGATGTAACATTTAAAATAAATGCTAAATAAATAAAAACTATTTACTAGTATTTAGGCCTACAAAAATTGCTGGGAAAATGGGTGGAACCAAATGCATAACTTTCTTTAGTGGACTTGAATTAGTAAGGACAGACACGTAAAACTAACAAGCTAGCAATTAAGATATGTAAGTGAAGCCAATGTGTAAAAAAAAAATTAGGCCTTGTAAAAAAATTCATGTGTACCGTTACACTTAACTTAACAGTTTAACACTTAACATTTATTAATTCTAAAAAAAAAATTTTTAGCTAGACATTTTATTTAAAAAAAAAATACTAAAATCACTAATTTGACTAATCACTAATTGAAAAAAAAAACACATATTGAAGGCCAAATTGAAATTGACAAAAAATTGGTGATAAATTATCGCCAAAGGGCAGGCTTTACACTACTTTACAGTAGTTTTCACTACTATAATAATAGTCCTCTCCTCTAGTACTCTAGACTACACAAACTCACTCAATGAATCAAAATGTGCTCGAAATTATTAAATCATAAATCGATTGTCATACAAATAACTTATTATTAACAAAAACCTACTCTGTGGCTCGCTGTTTGTCGATTTCAGAAAAGCCTTTGATTCTATTGATCACACCATACTTCTTAAAAAACTAATTCCATACAAATTCCACGACTTTACAGTTAGGTTACTTCACTCCTTTTTATCTAACCGATCTCAACGCGTGTTTCACCTCAATACCATCTCTTCACAGAAATATGTTAATATAGGGGTTCCACAGGGCTCAATCTTAGGTCCTTTACTTTTTTCTTTATACATTAATGATCTTCCATTACATATTGACGCTGGTCAGTGCGAGATGTTCGCTGATGATACTTCTTTGCATGTCTTTGCAGACAGTGCTGAGTCACTCAGTTACAAACTTCAAACATGTGCCAATCAGCTTGCTACTTGGACAAAATTTAACAAAATGAAACTTCACCCCGATAAAACCAAGTCAATGTTTATTACAACTCATCAGAAACGCCTTCGTCTTCCATCCACCGCATTAAACATTACTATAGACAATTCAAACATTGAACAGGTAGACAGTTACAAATGCCTAGGATTGTTTATAGATCACAACCTCACTTGGTCTGACCATATTCATTTTCTAAGAATGTCCTTATTAAAGACAACCTTTCAATTGGCAAGGATAAAAAACTTTCTCAACTATAGGAGCAGGCTGGTTTTTTATGAGGCTTTTATTCAATCCAGGTTGGATTATGCTTCTGTAGTGTGGAGCGGCAGCTTTATAAATAAGCAGCGTCCTCTTCTTTCTTTACAAAAAAGGGCTATAAAACTGGTTACTGGCTTGTCTAGTAGTCTGGATTCTTTTCTTACTACTAAAATACTTCCATTAAATAAAAAGATAATATATACTAAATCAATTTTCTTATATAAAATATTCCACGAAACAGCCCCCTCTTACTTATCAGAATCTATTTTCTTTTAACATAAAATTAAATCGTCGTCTTAATTTACCATTCCCTTATTCAACCTTTTTCCAAAAACATAGCTTCGCCTACTCTGGTTCTAATTTGTGGAACAATCTTCCTAATAAAATAAAGCTATCTAGATCTGAAAATATATTCAAATCTAAACTAAAACTAAAATTATTTAATGACCTAACTGACTCATTGTAACATTTCTTATTCATCTATTACCTATTCTCTTTTTTATCTCATTGTGTATGATAACTATGTACCATTGTTTCTTTATTCCACATTTTTAGTGCTATGTGTTACTGCTATGTGTTATGGAATTGTTTTATTTGTTTAAACGGCCAATGTGAAAAAAGGCCTTTGTGGCGTTTGTGCCTACAATTGTAATTGTAACCGTTGTTTGAATAAATTTAAATTTGAATAAATTTAATTTAAACTTTTCCCATAACGTTATCCTGCAGATTCCTTACCCTGACCCTCAGTTATATTTTATTAGATTAAATGAGTAATTAAATTCAATGTAAGTTCATCAGTCAGCTTTTAGTTGATAAAATTTCATGTTGTTTTAAAAGAGGCCGATGCTTGTTTGCTTTTCACAACTCAGGTGACTTGTCGTTTAGAGTAGTGTCCCTTGCGATTAGTTACTTAAAAAACTATTCTAAATCATAGTAAATCTATTAATCTTAGATGCAGATCGAGAATCTGGATAGCCTAGCCAAACGGTCCATATTTTTAATTCAATTTTAATAGAATCACCATTATTAATCTTTTTAAACATAATGTATATATATATATATATATGTGTATATATATATATATATATATATATATATATATATATATATATATATATATATATATATATATATAGGGGTCGTCCATAAATTACGTCACACACATAGGGGAGGGTGGGGTCCGCAATTTTGTGACGATGTGTGACGAAGGGGGGGGGGGTTCAGATGGTGCGACGTCACACTTTAGAAAACGAATTTTAGATGTTATTTCGCGTTTTAGAAAACGGTTTTAATAAATTGCAATAGGAATTGGTTAAAATACTCTATTTTGACAGAGTTCAAACAAGATTTTTAAAAAATATCGATGTTTTTAAAAAAAAAATGCAATTTTGATTGAGGGTTTGTAGGCTGAGGTGTGACGTCATTTAAGAGGGGGTCTGGCTTTTTGTGACGACGTGTGACGGAGGGGAGGGGGGGGGGGGAGGTAAAAATCGTCAAAAAAAGCATGACGTCATTTATGGATGACCCCATATATATATATATATATATATATATATATATATATATATATATATATATATATATAAATATATATATATATATATATATATATATATATATATATATATATATATATACATACATACATACATACATATATATATATATATATATATATATATATATATATATATATATATATATATATATATATATATATATATATATATATATATATATATATATATATATATATATATATACATACATATATATATATATATATATATATATATATATATATATATATATATATATATATATATATATATATATATATATATATATATATATATATATATATATATATATATATATATATTATGTTACAATAGGAATCTTTTAGTCTACACTATTTTTTTTTATTCTTTGCAACATTTTTAACAAAGATGTTGCATTTTATCCTTGTGTTAAAGGGGCAGAGTGGTATTTGAATTTGACTCAAAGAGAATGCTATGCATCCCTGATTTTAGTTTGGTAGATTATATTGACCCAATAATCTTTCATTTTTTAAAAACATAAAATAAGGGGTAAGAAATTGTCGCATATCGCCACAAAATATCAGACCCCCCCCCCCCCAATAAAAAACTGATGTCACACCTTCTCAATATTACTATTTAAAAAAATTATAATTAAAACTGAGATTTTCATTTAAAATACTATTAGTGGGCTGGGTCACAACTACATATTTCGAGAAAACAATCACCAGGGGTGGAACTACCCTGCCACCAGGGCCACGTAATGCGGGGGGGGGGGGGGGGGGGGGGGAGGGACCAGAGTTTCTTCCAGGCATCTCTTTGGGGGGGCTAAGCCCCCCCCCCCCCCCCCCGAAATTTTTTTTACCGCCCCCCCCCCCCCCCCCAACGAAATGAAATTTATATAATTTATATAGAAAATATATACTTTTAACAGTGTCCGCCCCCCCCCCCCTCAAACTTTCGATTTGCCCCTTCCCCCTCATACTTATTATATATATACCGGGGGGGGGGGGGGGGGTCTATGGGGGGGTTATGCCTACCCCACTGTTTAAAACAGTTACCCGTGTTTGAATTTTTAGAACGTCCCTTTATTTAGGGGATCCAAAATTTAAAATTAAAATTCTATTTGCGACGGAGTTAAAAGTTTGTCATCAAAATTGAATAGAAGTATGTTATAATAAAGCTACCATTTTTAGACTTTCAAACAAAAACTACAGTTAAGTATTCAATAGGTGAAATATATTTTTTTTACACAAGGTTACATAGATGATATGAAAGATTTGGTATAATTATTACGTAATGAAATTTAAAGTGTTTTATTGTGTTTTTCATGTATGTCTTAGTTACACTTGGTTAATTTAGCTATTCTTGTGAAAGTTATTTCCCTTGAATAAAATTTTGGGTTTTTGGATTTTCAAATGGAAGATAATTCTTTGCTTAACTGTACATTCATTTCAAATTCCTGCACCTTAGGTTGACCGCTTACATATAAATACAACTGTAAGTTATTATTTGCTATTGTAAAAATTATATAGAGCTTAAATTCTAAACAAAATAGTTTGGTATGTTCTTTTTTAGCATTATCAAGTTGAAAACAAATTGGGTGTTGCAGTAATACTTTGCTATATAACATGCTATTTTTCAAAAAATTATATAAATTAATTGGCAAGCGCTAAAATTATGTTTTAGCTATCAAAAATTAAAACAAAATATTAAGTATCGATTTTTATGTGTTTTGAATTTTTTAATTCAAGATAAACTATTGAAAATAATTTTTGAAATAATTAATAATATTAATTCATTAATCCATTCCAAGTTTTGGAAAAACTTCCGCCAGGGAGAGATTAAATTTTCCAGACTAAATGAATTTTTGTGATCATGATTACCATTGATAAACAAACATGGCGGCTGCTTGTTTCTTGACTTCGCTTCAACATTTTAAACTCATCATGAACTCCCAATATGCAACAAATATACAAAAGTTCAAGTCTATTGTGTACGTACGGTTGGGAAGTAATGTATTTGCATTCAATTCTGACAGAAAAGTTTTGTGGCGGTAAGTAAATTAATTATTTTTTAAAGTTAATGTAAGACCTAGCAAGCCTAGCCCCAGGGGACATCACTCCTACTTAACGATTTGGTAAACAGTGAACACTTATCTAGACCGTCAAGTTCGATGACAGAATATTACAAAAATAGATCTAAAATCTAAATCTACCTGATCCTAAATATATAATATCTGAAGGCCTATATCTACTTTATTAACTATACTGATCCCTCTAAATAAAAAGTGACAGTACAGTAGTGATTAGATTTAGAATCTACTAGATTACTAGATTGAATTCTAGATCTAGATTCTAGTGACGAGTGTGTGTTTGTCGAGAGCTAGATCTAGATCTAGTTGTAAGTTATCTAATCTATCTAGATTCTAGATCTAGTTACTCTAGTCTAGTATTACCTATCCCAGTCTGCCCCGTCTAGTGGCGTCTAAGCTAAGGCAAGGCCTAAAAGGTGTGTAGAGTTGTAAATGTAGACTGTAGAGTTCACTAGTGTAATAGACAGTGACTGTAGCATTGCTAGTGTGAGTTGTAGTAACAATCTACACAGTAATTTAGAAATGTTGTCTAGGACTTAGTGTCAGTAAATATTGTTACATGCACTTATTACTCTAGCCCACAATCTAGATCTAGTATGCAATGTAGCAAAATGTATCTATATCCACTTATTTAGTAGGCCTTGTACCCTGGTTATTAGATCTAGAGTTTAGATTTAGTAATAGAATCTAGATCTAGGCTTAATGCTCAATATATATTGACCTAAAGTAGTTATAGATTTAATGGCTAGTTTTAGTTTCAATTTTATTTAAAATTTTGATTATGTATAAAAATGTAAACTATAATTATAAGAGAAAATTCTGAGTAGAAATATTGTGTGTACATCTATTTTTCAGATTAGGCCTACCTGAATTAAATCAGTGCATATAGACCTCTAGAAAGAAGCCTACACAATTTCCAGGAAACCTCAACCAAGACTATCAACAAAACATGAAATCAAAATGTGTGTTATAATGAAGATTTCATCTAAGACTGCAATTTATGAAGAACAATATTTGATGCAAGAAAAAAAAAATCCCCTGCAATTACTGGAAAGTAATAAATCAAATACCTTTACCTTTAAATATTAAATAAATGATAAATTTATTTACTAAATATTGAATTTTTCTCATTCATTTTATGTTGAATTTCTTTTTTTAAAATTGTATTTGTAATGTTAGTTTATGAAAATATTGTAAACAATAGTGAGAGTTGTATGGTAGTAAAGCTCCAGTTTCGAACCCGTTGATCCATGGATCTGACAACATAGAGTTCACCTATTTTTGTGACCTTGGCATAGGAAGGGATGATTGGGTCAGCCATATGCCCATCCACATTTACTTTCACTAACGTGAGTTAGGTACCCATCACTGCTGGGTGCACTCAGGGACTTTCTACTAACTACTGGGTTAGCAGTCTAATGCCAGTGTGAGTTGCTTAAAACAAAATTTGCAAGTAAAATACTATTTAGTTTCCTAAACAGTTTTAAAAATATTAGAACCCACACACACACACAAAGAACTGGTATTAAAACAACACACTCAATAAAAGAATAATTAAGTTTAATAATTTATAAAAGGACATATTTAGGATGTACATGTAATATTGTTTAATATGAACAATGAAACCAGTTGCTCATATCATATTTCTACTCATAATTAAAGTTAAAGCAATATTTGTGAACAGAAATATATATTTACAATGACATATGAAAATGGGATTTATTGGTTGAGCATTACAGCACACAATTGCTAATCCAGAGAAGTGGTTTGAGGGCTTGAGTACATTAAGGGTAACTGGCTTGAGATACTGACTTTAAGTGTAAACCACACAACTGTTTTATTAGCCTAAGTCAAAAAAACAAGACATTATTTTTTATTATTACAAGTGGAACATGCTTCATCTGTGGAATAATATTTTCATTAACAGTAAAAATAAATATTAAATAGTGTACACAGACACGAAAAATACATGCTTACTGTAAAGCAAAAGAAATTATTCTAAAACAATGTAATATGCATTAGTAGTCATTAGGCCTATTTAGTCATATCTGTTTATTCTGAGTGATATAGTCAGAAAACTGTAATTATAGCATATTTAATTTCTACTAAGTATGCCTTGTACAACAGTATGAATATCTAGAATCTAGCTATATAGATTAATTGAAGTTGCTGATTTTTTTTTTTAAATCTTGGAATTAAATTTTCAATGTTAAATTAAAAGCTCAATGACAGTAACACAAAGCCAAACAAAGCTTATTACAATTAAACTAATTAGACCCTAATGATAGTAATTATTAGATTAATCCAATTTTAGGCCCACTTTGGGCTTAAATCAAATTTGGAATTTCTAGAGCTACTACTAGATATAGAATTTTATCTAGTAATACTGGTACACTATAACTTGTCTATACAAAGCAGACGACTAATTAGTAATTACGGTTATTAGGTCTAGCCTACTGTCACCGTGTAATATCTAGTTTATCTACTTCTAGATCCAGATCTAGTACTAAAAGAAAAAGTACTAGGAAAAGGAATTATTTTTAAAAATATGGCATTGATTTAAAATAGGGGCCTATTTATTAAAATGAATAAAGGCAAAGTCTTTATTACTAAATAGGCCTAATTTAAGTTAGGGGCCTATAGGCCTAATTAACTATAATAATATGATTAATACATAGGGTCAAATTACTAATTTAATCAGGCCTAAACTTTCTAAGCAAAATAAAGTCTAAAAAAAAATTTATGGGCCTAAATTCAAAAGTTAAGTCTAAAGGCCAAAGGTTTCTATTTTACAAAATGATCGTAAATCTAACTAATTATTCTATTATTACTAAATCTAGCTTAAATACTACTAGCTATTAAGTACTAAACTAATATAAATACTAACCTAACACCTAATAATAATATTAATAAAAGTATTCATATAGTTCGCTATAAAAGAAAATACTCACTCTATAGTCTATATATATTATTTAATTATAGATCTAGGTCTAACTAAAATAAGGCAGAGATCTAGATCTAAATAAAATACTTAGGCCCTAGATCTAGCAAATAAATAATAATACTATTTGACGATTTGTTAGGCCTATATCTGTATATCAGACTATGACTATAACTAGATCTAGATTCTATATCTTATTAATATCTATCTACTACAGTTTATAACTTAGACTTAGTGTGTTAGTCACTGTTAGTGTATACTGTACTTAGTGTACTATTAATATTAATTAGTACTAGATCTAAGTACTAAGTAAAGTTAGTACACTAGAGTAGAATCTAATTATTAAAGTTCTTTAATTCTTTAGACTTGGTCACTTGACTTTACGACGTCTTCTTTAGTAAAGAATCTTAAGTTCTTTACTCTTCTTTAAAAAAATCTTTAGAGTTTAGAACTTTAGACTGACTACGGTCCGTACCACTAAATAAAATTAATAAATGACTAAAACTAAATCTAACGAGTCGGTTGTATTCTAAATAAAATTCTAGATCTAGAATCTAGATTCTTTATTAAAATCTGAAAAGTTGAAAAGTCAATTCTTTATCTAGAACGATCTAGAATCTAGATTAGATTCTAGATCTATCTCGAATTCTAGATCTAAATTCATAAAATTCTGATTCTAAAACTTGTATTTGTTTTGAAGCCAAAAGCGAAAGTAGCTTTCCTAACTTTAAAAAAAAAGATTTAATAAAAATATCCAGATTTGGTTTAAAAAAACGCCAACCGGCAGGACTCCATTTGGACTCCACTTCAACAGCCTATACATCAGTAGCCGATGTAGATTGCAATACTTAATGTTAGTAGACATACAGTCTTAGTCGTTAATTAAACAGCTAATTAAATGTCTTTTCATATTATTCACCCTCTCCTAAAGGATTCATATATAACAATTTTAGGCTGGAATATATAACATTTATAACCTTTTATTTTTCAATAACAAAAAAATCGTTACATAATCACACAATATAGACATTTTATAATTATAATTAAAGACAGTCAAGCTTAAAACAGGCCAATTCCAATTTGGAACTCACCTTGGGAGGTCTGCAGAGAGCCCAACACTACAAGAATTTTTTTCAGTGGTATTTTTCCAGACCTTTTCTCACGGGAGGGGAAGGGAGGGGGAAGCACTTAAAATTTTCTAAGGGGGCGGGGGGGGGGTATGGTACAAAGTAGCCTCGTGGACTTAGCAACAATTTCAATAAAATGTGGTTACGCTTGCAAACTGGAATTGAAGGAATTAGTACAATTTTTTGAGACGAAGGAGGCTAGTAAAATTTGATTTCGATGTCTACTTATAACTTGTAGGCGTATACAATTGATAAAAATTTTATACGTCTCTTTTAATTATTGTTTTCTTACACACATGTTTTAGTAATTAATTTGTGTGAAAGTGGGCGTTTTAAGAAGCTTTGCCTAGGGCGCTAAATAACCTGGCGCCGGCACTGCCAGAGGCGTAGCGAGGGGTGGGGGGCGGGGGGGGGGGGACACATGTCCCCGGGCACCGACCTTAGAGGGCGCCAAAATGGGTTGGAAAAATAAATTGAAAGGTTGAAGGGGGTGCAAATCGAAAGTTTGAGGGGGGGGGGATGCAAATCGAAAGTTTGTCCCCGGGCGCCGGGAAGGGTCGCTACGCCTCTGGGCACTGCTGAGGGGTGTGGTAATGTCAAGTATGTTCGAACTATATTTTTGCTGCTTGTCTTTACACAAGAATTTTATCGCAAGAACAAAATTTTCAATCTTAAAAGCGGATCGATTGGACACATCATTTAATTGAATTATTATAATTTACTTTGTCAACTGCTTTGAAAAAATAATCTTATACTTTTCAGCTTCAACGTAAAAATTCTTCAAAGTAAGACTGCATTGGTTTACCTACCTACAGGCTCACGCTATCTTCTCAAAAGGAAGACCAGCGTTATGCATATGGCTTGTAAGTCTACTAGCTGGCAAGTACGTGAACGAGAAGTTGTGACCTACTTACAAGCCCTATTGCACATACATTATCTAGATCCAACGATGTTGGTCGATATCACAAGCCTCAGTGGTGTCACAAGGTTGGGTATGGTTAACTGAGGTGTGTCAGCACATCAATCCAACAACTTTGCCTTTTTCTGTATCGTGTCACCACTCTCGCCTATTTTATTATTGTAACTGGATAAAACATTGTTTTCGGAGTAAATTTTATAATTTTTTTGATTTGTTGTCACCCCCTAAATGGCGTCACCCAGTGGCGACCAAACCCCACCCCTGCCTTGTTACACATCTGAAGGAAATGGTCTTGGTCTGTGAAACCACAGCAAACTGAACAATATAATTTTTAAAAAAAAGCCACTGTTTACCTGCTCTGTTGATCGCACCCTTCTATAAGATTGTCACAGAACTGATCCGATAAGCGAAAGTCATTTTTGTGTGTGAGTAGTCCTCAGCTTATTCTGCTCATTACACCCAGAGCTGTCTCTATCGTGAGAATTTTAATTCTACCCTGTATCTCAGTGACATACCTAAATAGGAGGGGAGCAATGGTGCCGGAATAACTGTCTCTATCGTGAGATTTTTAATTGTAACCTGTATCTCAGTGACATACCTAAATAGGAGGTTAACCAATGGTGCCGGAATAACTGTCTCTATCGTGAGATTTTTAATTGTAACCTGTATCTCAGTGACATACCTAAATAGGAGGTTAACCAATGGTGCCGGAATAACTGTCTCTATCGTGAGATTTTTCATTGTAGCCAGTATCTCAGTGATATACCTAAATTAGGAGGGGAGCAATGGTGCCGGAATAATTGTCTTTATAGTTAGAATTTTAATTCTAGCCAGTCTCTCAGTGACATACCTAAAATAGGAGGGGAGCAATGGTGCCAGAATAACATCCAAACATGCCAATCAAAAAGCTGCCGTTGTCAAGTATGTTCGTGGTTCTCGTTGATGGGAAAACATTTTAATAGCTGACCACTAGCTTTAGATTTCACCAAAGCTGTTTAATGGATAAGGGGCAGTCCATAAATTACGTCACACTCGTAGGAGGGAGGGAGGGGTCCGTAATATTGTGACGGTGTGTGATGAGCCGCAAGGGGGGGGGGGGTCAAATGGTGTGACGTCACACTTTTGCATTATTAAAAAGTAATGCTAGAAAACGAGTTTTAGCCGTTATTTCGCGTTTTAGAAAACGGTTTTAATAAATGGTGGTAGGAATTGATCAAAATACTCTATGTAGACAGAGTTTTTGACAAGATTTTGGAAAAATATCGATGTTTTAAGAAAAACGCAACAGCAATTTTGAGGGGTGTGACGTCATTTTATGGCGTGGGGGGGGGGGGGGGGAGGGGGAGGTCGGTTTGGCTTTTTGTTACGACGTGTGACGGATGAAAGGGGGGGGGGGGAGATAAAAATCGTCAAAAAAAGCGTGAAGTCATTTATGGATGGCCCCTAACCAACAGCAGCTAGCCACTGAGCTGTCTGTTTTTCTCTTCTTATATATTACTAGGTAAATGCCATTACTGAGAGAAAACATAACTCGAAAAATAAATTCTATTGAACGACAGTCTTTTTTCAGGTGACATTAAATATAATGTTTATTTCTTTAATTATTTTTTTTTTAATTTTTTTTTTTTGCAATTTTACAGTATATCATCAGATTTTATTGATTAAAGGTTTATAATAAATAACCGCTTAACTAATGGAAAAGTTTACCTTTAACCAAAGACTGTTTATTGTGAGATAAAATGTTAACCATAGTATCATTTTCTTTTCGAAGTGACTACTCGCAACAAGATTTTTCTCCCCAACGTCTCCACTTAGTCGGCAAAAGATAGCTCTGCGCATGCGCGCTTTTCTTTTTGTGCTTTTAATTTTTGGAAATCGCATTTTAAAAAAAAGGGGACACCCGGCGACACCCAAGCTGTAGAAAACCTATTACTTGAACAATTAAGGGCTAGTAATTAAGACACATTTTGAACTGCTGATCATTATATGAACTTTATTTTCTTTATATACAAATCAATATATTAAAAAAACATACACACAAATAAACATAAATAATAATAAGCTAAACATTGAAGCCATAAACTGGAACAATTGTTTTATTTGTATTAACATTCACAGCAAGATGTAAGGTCGACGAAACGACGCTCTTCTAAACAACACAGTAGCTTCACAGGGAGATCACTGCGCTACACCGATTGGTCTAAACGACAGGGAGGTAACCGTACTACACCGGCTGGTCTAAACGCCTTTCCATGGCACGCATGTTGTTTTGTATGGCCTGGTACTGTGTCAGCATCCTCTCCGTCACTGGCAAAAGGTGTTTAAGAATTAGTTTCTAATTAATTAGTTTTTACTCATTAATCAATTAAATATGAACGTTTATGTAAATCTCCGTAACCTGTATAATAAAGGCCTGCCACACTCGCATTTTAAATAAATTGCCAAATAAAAATTAATTGATCTAAAATTTAATATTAGTATACTTACTTAAATAATAGTGCAATCAGTGATGAATTAATGTAAGTTAAAAATTATAGTCAGACATAATTTGAGCGAACGTATACACCTTTAACTTTACGTTGCAATTAACTAACTTAATTGTTAATTTAAGCCAAAAGAAATTCACTCCAAACTGCTTTGTATATAGCGAAAGGAGCATTCGGCATTAAGGAATATATAATTTAGCATAGAAAGTATGTTACCCACAATAAGGGGGGGGGGACTTTTATCTTTATGGAAGATAGCAGTGTTTCTTTCAGACATTTTCCCCAGGGAGACACTTGATATTTTCGGAAGGGGGTGGGGCTAAATTTTCCGGGGGGGGGGGGGGAGACACTGGTAAAAGTATATATTTTCTAAATAAATTTCATGGCTGTAGACTTTCTTGGGGGGGGGGGGGGTGCAGGAAGAGATGTCTGAAGAAACTGGAGGAGAGAAGGGAATCTAGCTAAATGTCACGGATAGAGGAGTGTGGTTAAGGGGGCTGACATAGTTAATTAGAGAGATATCACACACGAGAGGTGCAAGATTAACTACTGAATGTATTAAGTAAACTGACAACTCTCAAAAACTCCAATATCTTGGCAACAAACAGCACGAATTTATCTGGCCAAAAAGAACAGCGTGTCCTATTATTAACGGACCCATAAATTAACATGGCAGTAATCCATCCTGTAGATTGTCGCATAATATGACTTCACCGTGTTTACAAGGAGAAATTAAATTAACATATGCTTAGTATTCGTCTTAGCCAAGGAAATTGTAATATATGTTAATCAAGCGTTGCTTTTGTTCGCTTTTCAAAGCACCAGTTTAGCCCACACATAATTAAGTTAATTTAATTAAAAGAATGAGAGGGGGATCCTAGTAAATTATACTAAATTTAGGCAGTAAATATGTGAAAATGTGTCATTTTTAAAGGTCTAGTATATATATTTTTAAAACAAAAAGAAAACACTCTAAGGATCTACAACTCGTCTAATCTCTACATTATAAAACGTAAAGCAACTATTATACCAACAACACGTCAGTGTGGCCTTATTGGCTCAGCCGTATGTCTATGTCTACTCCTAACCAAAACAATTAACAGGTAGCTTCTAAAGGTAGTTATAGCCAAGTAAAAATATGTGTGTTTAATAGCACTGCATGTTAGCCTATTTCACTATCCTAACTAATCTCACACATCAAACCAACCACACCACCGTTGTGATAGAATTTTAGGAATCCAACGCCTGCGCCCTTGTACTTTAAAAAAGACCCCAACCCCACCCCCTGCATACCAAAACTTTTCTTTAAAAAAACAAATTCCCAGAAGAAAAAAAAAAACATTTTCCCCAAGCTTTTAAAGAACCTACTTGTGCGAATTTTACAGACGGATCCCACCTCCACTTGTATCATATTTTATATATTAGAAGCTCGTAGACAGCTTCCGCTGTTGACAGAGCCAACCCCCTCTCCCCCCCCCCATTCCCCCCTCCCCCCCCCCCCCCCCACACACACACACAACTGTACCACTACCCAAAAACATAACAAAGCTAAAATGGCTGATTAGATGATCAACAAGCACACATGTTGTATAGATAACCATACTTCAACTCTTAGGGTCAGAGTTATCGGGTTTGAGGTAGATCTAATTGCATACGATACACCTATACACACACACACACACACACACACACACACACACACACATATATATATATATATATATATATATATATATATATATATATATATATATATATATATATATATATATATATATGTATAAATATACATATATATGTATGTATATATGTATGTATATATGTATGTATGTGTGTGTGTATGTATGTGTAGCTTTATCCATCAATACCTATTCAGATGTATAAGTTTAACTACTTTTGATTGTATTTTTAAAAAAAAAGTATTTTAAGATTTGAAAACGAGATCTATTATCTAGATTCTTGAAAGTACAATAACTTCTAGTTCTTAAATGTTTCAGAAATAAAAATGTTTATCAAGTTAAACTGTCTAGAATTTACGTATCTTAAGTTTTTCCTTTAATAATCCGTACTGATATTTGTTGAGCTATGTTTTTGTATCTCAACTAATTTTTTCACTCAGTGTGTAACACCAAGTCACCCTGTATTGTCACCAGTAGCGTAGCGAGGGGGGGGGGGGGGGCGGGGGGGGGGGACACATGTCCCCGGGCGCCGACCATAAGGGGCGCCAAAATGGGTTGGAAAAATAAATTGAAAGGTTGAGGGGGGTGCAAATCGAAAGTTTGAGGGGGGGGGGGCGCAAATCGAAATCTCGAGGGGGGGGGGGTGCAAATCGAAAGTTTGAGGGTGGGGTAAAAATCGAAAAGTTTGTCCCCGGGCGCCGGGAAGGGTCGCTACGCCTCTGATTGTCACAGTAGGGAAGTGAGTCGTAAAAATGGCGGGTCATTGTCCTTACCATAACAACATTTGTAAGTCTTTTCCCTTTAACTGAGGACGTATAGGTTCATGTCAGTGTAAGGGAGATAATACTTTTATTTAAATAAGAGCAATAAATCTGTCTCGTTGGTTCGGACGTGACTAGATTTAAGTATTTAGTAGGTTCAGGCCCTTTAGTGGTAAGACTTTTATTCACGATGTATTATACCAAAAACATGTTTACGTTTATCCGGCATTTTTGTCTCGGCACATTTGTTTACAAAGGATTTATTTACGTTGATCGGGCACATATCTTGCCAACAGAGGCGTAGCGAGGGGGGGGGGGGGTGGGGGTGCGGACCGCACCGGGTGACACCATTGAGGGGGGTGACACCATTGAGGGGGGTGACACCAAGGCAAAAAATAGCAAAATATATAGAGAAAAATGATAATTCCACTTAATTTAAGTGATTAGTTCGAGTGTTAAATAGTCTTTTAAGAGGTGCAAATCGAAAGTTTAAGGGAGGGGGGGGGGGGGGCAAATCGGAAGTTTGAGAGGGGGTGTGGGGTGCAAATCGAAAATTGAAAGTTTGTCCCCGGGAAGGGTCGATACGCCTCTTGGGGGGTGACACCATTAAGTGCCGCATCTGGTTACATCCGACCTCGCTACGCCACTGCTTGCCAAGGCACAGTTTTAAAGCAAGGATTTGTTCTTATTGAGGGAAAACTTGTTTTAAATTTAGTCTTAATTTAGTCTTAATTTCTCATTAATGGTGACTTACTTGCCCAGTGGTCGACCGGTCTGTTAACTTTCCATATTGTTGATTCTATTTTAAACCAGTTGTTCATTGACTTAAGGTTAGCTCTGAAACAAATACAATCAACAATTAGCCCCAGTAAAACACAATCCCTTTAACCTGTCAATAGGGCTGGTACGTAGGTCACAAACAAGTTCTATGGCTCATGCAGGTTTTATTGAGCCGTAGAACTGGTTGGTGACCTACTTACCAGCCCTATAATTTACTGGAGTAATACCAAGAGTACAGTCTTTACTGATGGGGTCGTGCAGAGTGCGATTGTGGTTCATCAGTTTCATTGTGTTTCATTGGGACATTGAAATAGAAATGTTGAATAGGTAACTCTTCCTTTAATATGTCTATATTTTCATTTTGTGATTTAGAATAAGTGGGATAATAAAACGTCCCAAATGACTTATATGTTATTTCTGTAAGTGCAAAATATTCACTTAACTAAAAATTTTATTTTTAAGGATTACTAGAAAAAGTCGTATTATAGTTGGACGACTGTTTTTAGAAAAGTTATAAGGCCTACAATGTTAAGTTAAGTTGTGTAGATAAACAAAATGTCAAAATGTTGAGCTAAATTTAATTTTTAAATTTATTAAAATTAATGCGTACGTTTCCTTATTAGCGTGTTAATGGACATGCGATTATTTTCTAAGAGAATTATTTTTATTAAATAATTTAATTATAATTAGAAAATCGAATTTCAAGTTAGACAATGATATACATTTAAATAATATATTAACAAGTAAACAACAAGCCTAGTAATATAAATAAAGCATAAACTCAACCATCTTTTAGCAACGTACATAAATTTGATTTCCGGGTAAGCGAGAGCTTCTTTAGTTGGCCACCACAAGACGGAGACCTGGTTTCTGGCGGGGGGCTGGTACCTCATCAGCATGGGGTTGTTGGGGTAGTAGCGCTTGAAGATGTTCAGGAGTCGCTCCTCGAAGGCTCCAACCGAATCCTCGGTCCTGGGAGTTTAAGAGGTTTACAGTAAAAATATTTCTTCTTCGACTGTTTGCCACAGCAAAATCTAGATTTTGATATTTAGTTGCTTTTTTTTTTTTTTTTTTTTTTTTTTTTTTTTTTTCATGGATGTTAGGTGATTGATATCAATGAATGTTCGTGGTAATTATGACTATCACACATATTTACATTCACAAAAGCCAATTCTATTAGTGAATGGTTTACTGCTAGTGCTAGCTGGAATGTTAATCTCTTTTTGTACGCAGGATCTTAAGTGTTTGAGGTCAACTTGTAATGTAGTCAACACTCAAACTTGATGTACATTTCAGATGAATTCTATGTCTAGTTTGTTCACGTATTAAATGCATGTACTTTAAGAATTCTGGCTATTTGTTTTTAATTTGAATTTCCTCCTTGGTCAGTAAAATTATTTACTTTCAAATATTAACTACCTGTCGAAATACGGCGTTTCTTAAGAAGATTTAGATGAATAACAATAATTTGAAAAATCAAGACACATTTTTCACATATACAATGCTTCTATTAAAGTAATAAAATTAAATTTAAAAAAAAAATGAAAATTAATAACAAAACTAAAATCACAGTCTGACCTTGACCGAGCATTACAGCTCATACCACCAGCCCCCGCCCTCCACTGGTCAAACAACTGGAACACCCCCAGGTGGGGGTTAGGACCTCCGGGGAAGTACTCAAGTTCAAGGTTGGCGGTGTTGGCAGGGCTGGCGTAGAGGATGAAATCCGTGAAGTTAAAGAAGTTTAGGTGCTGGCTGAATGGTCCTATGGTTACTGTAATAGAGATGGTTAGATGTAAAGTTTAGGTGCTGGTTGAATGGTCCTATGGTTACTGTAGGAGAGATGGTTAGATGTAAAGTTTAGGTGCTGGCTGAATGGTCCTATGGTTACTGTAGGTGAGATGGTTAGATGTAAAGTTTAGGTGCTGGTTGAAAGGTCCTATGGTTACTGTAGGAGAGATGGTTAGATGTAAAGTTTAGGTGCTGGCTGAAAGGTCCTATGGTTACTGTAGGTGAGATGGTTAGATGTAAAGTTTAGGTGCTGGCTGAAAGGTCCTATGGTTACTGTAGGAGAGATGTAAAGTTTAGGTGCTGGCTGAATGGTCCTATGGTTACTGTAGGAGAGATGGTTAAATGTAAAGTTTAGGTGCTGCCTGAATGGTCCTATGGTTACTGTAGGAGAGATGTAAAGTTTAGGTTCTGGCTGAATGGTCCTATGGTTACTGTAGGAGAGATGGTTAAATCTAAAGTTTAGGTACTGGTTGAATGATCCTATGGTTACTGTAGTAGAGAGATTAAATGTAAAGTTTAGGTGCTGATTGAATGGTCCTATGGCTACTGTAGGAGAGATGTAAAGTTTAGGTGCTGGCTGAATGGTCCAATTGTTATTGTAAAATAAAGTGTTAACTGAATTAAAATGTTTGAAATAAGGACAAATGAATATGTATACAATGTAGAGTTAAAATATCGGAGCTTAGTTATGCAACTCGCGGCCCCGCCCCAACTCAGAACAACAATGTCACGCCTTTAATTTAAATTTTAAATAATTTGTTCTCGAGTAAACAACTCTGTTTAATCCGATCGGTTGGATTATACTTGGGATTAAACATAATCTCGCACATATAATATGATTTAGTAACAATTATTTCATAATATGGTAAATATTTGCACGAAACTTCAGATAGGATGTAAGTTTGGGCTGTATTTTAATGGAAACAATTGTTGGTTATCTTACGCCAGAAACACAATGTGCAGCAACAACTTCACTATTTATTTAACATCGGATGAAGCAAGCCGGAAGTGGGAATACATTAACCCAGGGCCATAATGTCGAGGTTGCAAACAACGTTTCAGCACAGCTAAGTTAAGAGACTCGTAGGTCACTGGTGCGTTTTTTTCTTTGATGGTTTAGCTGGTTTAGTTGTCGCTAAGTGGTTCATGATTGAGAAGCGTTCAAACACACGTTCAGGTATGCGTTTTAAAACACGTTAAGACACATGTTGAGATAAGCGTCAAGACACACTTTAAAATACACATTAAGACACTTTTAGAGACACATTGAAACACACGTTCATACACACGTTCACGACACACGGCCGCACATACAATCAGACACACATTCAGAAAGTTGCTTATAAATACATTCAGAGATATGTTTAGACAATAAACAGTAAAATGACCCTTAGACCCTCAGTAGCTTGAAATCATTCCAGTGTTTCTAACATGACAAATCTCGCAGATTAATGCTCCCCCCCCCTTACCCCAACTGTAGTCACGAAGCTTTGTACAACATAACCCGTGTAAAACATTCGTGATGTCTTGCAGCAGGCTATATACATGCACACGTAACAAAGGTTTGTCAGGTTTGGGGCAGGGGTTCCCAAACTGATGGCGAGGGTTACTTTTTGGTAATTTCGTGTATATATATATATATATATATATATATATATATATATATATATATATATATATATATATATATATATATATATATATATATAATTGAACATCATTCTTAAATGTTTAGACATATTACAATGTTTTAACATTTAAAATTGTTTGTTACAGTTACTTCCCATCAAAACGTTTAATCAAAGCCAAGGGAGACAATTAATAAAATTCGATAATATCTCATGTATTGAATAATGACAAAACGATCTTAAGAATCATTGGGCATTATATTATAAAATAGGAAAAATAAAACTTGAGCATAAATATTTTCAACAATGTCTACGAGAGGCCTACATGCATTTTGAATTTATATTTTGCATATATTTAAAATAAAATAAAAAACTATTAGTCGTATTAACCTTAAATTGTATTTAATTGTAACTAAACCATAAGTTAGTATTGTCATCTTATTTTCGAGTCCTGGACTCCGCTTTCATTAGCAACTCTTCTTTTATTTACCTGAAAAAAACTTCACAGCATCATGCCGCTAGGTCAGGGGTCGGCAACCTGCGGCTCGCGAGCCGCATGCGGCTCTTTTGATGTCAAGTTGCGGCTCTCGAGTTCAATGCACACATATTAATAGTTATATTATTTCATGTTCAAATCGCATAAAAAATATTATACTGTAAAGAAAAAACAACTTTATACAGGATTAAAACACTCATCAGAGACCAGTGAGAATAGGTAAGTTAGAAAGTATACGGACCGCTGACAGCCGCTTAGGCACCAGGCCCAGCCCCACAGCTGTGCTGTAGCTAGCACCGTGGCGACTATTTTGTTTTTGCCACTGTCGAAGTGCCGACTTTTTCGAATATCGTTAAATGGGGAATGTTATTTTATAGAGAATGCATTCCTCTACCTGTCAGTATGCATTAATTTGACCCGAGTGACGTAGTATTTTCGTTATTAGTTTCCTACGGTTCAGCTAGGTACTGGACTCTGGGTTCGTGTAGGGTGAAAGATAACAACTGTGAGAACCGATACAGTAATCAAACCGATATCCAAGTCTGTTAGTCAGAGTTTGCAGTTTTGAAGCTTGCCTGGCTATAAAAGACACCTACTGAACCAGTGGTGACCGTAAAGAAAGAAAAAAAAAGTTATTGCCTTCTAAAGTGGATTGGGATAGTCCTATAATTATATTATATCATCTGATTACTAAGTTTATCATAGCAGATCTAGGTAAAACAGTTTTTAGCTGAAAATTTTATTTGTTTTTATATGAACCAATAAGTTCATATTTAATCAAATTTATTTACCTAATCCTTATCAAATACCAAAATATTGAAAAAAATAATGTTTGTGGCTCTTTAAAAAACTGGGAAATTTCTTAAATTGTATTTTTTGGCTCTTCCGTCTCAAAAGGTTGCCGACCCCTGCGCTAGGTTTATTTGGAAATAAATTCTCGCAAAAAAAAACTCCACCAAGACGTGCACAGTCATTGTCAAATCTTCAGTTGGATGCAACAGAATCAAAAGCAGAGTTTGGTCTAGATTATGGTGCAGTAAAAGTCAGCCTTGGTGGCCATGAAGTTGCATTTGAAAATGGTCATTGGATAAATGAAACAGCTGGAGGTGGTTCTAGCCACAAGGAAGTTATGAAACTAAGAAAAGCCAATCAAACGTTGCATGAAGAAAACAACTTATTGAAGCTTAAGATTGACATCCTGTTAGACATGCTTGCAGAAACATCGGCAGTCTCACACTTTCATGAGAATGAACTCAAACAGTTGAGAGAAACAAAATTGTCTAAGAAACGCTGATTTGGTTATCTATTTTTCCCAGCTTTTGTGAGGGATCTAAGAGATGTATACATGGACAGTTTGCTAGAAAATTACTGATATTTTTATAAAATCTAACTTAAATGACAGTATAAAGTTGTTTAAAAATATTTAGATGGCATAATCTTTAATACTACATTACAAATATAGTGTTGTTAGTACTGACTCAAACCAAAATATAATCAAACATGGTTATGCAATCAGAGTGAATCTTGTTTCCTTACATTTGATAATTTATCTAGGTTTGTAGTGATACATTTAGTTTCCAAAAAGTTTTTTAAAAGGGGAACTTTATTTCTTTACTATTGTTGAATGATGTATTTTGTGATTATTATGACAACTGCAGAGAAAGGTTTTCAGTGTACATATGTATATAATATTATAAATATCTTTATATGTGTAATAAAGAATGTTTATAAGTTTAAAAAAAAAAAAAAAATTAAGTTTCAATATATTTCCAACTACCCCACCACCCACCGCAACATCAATATCCAGAACGTATTTAAAGTTCTAAATCTTGTCTCTTTCCCCTCATCTTTCACACAGCAACCTTTTGAAAACTCAATGCGACCTCTACAACACCCTTTCAACTAGTCAACTTAAGTTGTTTCCCTACATAGAAAATGCTTCACTGTCCCATTGACCCTCTCTGAAAAATTTCCTTTCCTCTCCCCACCCAGACTTCTGACACTTTCATTTGACCTTCACCCCTTTTACTGCCATCCTTTGTATTTTTTTTATAATCAAATACATGACATCATGTAATATTCATTATGTACAGTTGCAAAACCTTTCGTTTTCATTTGGTGTTCAAAATTATGTTAAAAAATTTGATGTTGATGTACTTGTTTTAATTGCAAATAAAAGTATTAAAAAAAAAAAAAAAAAAAAAAAAAAAAAAAATATATATATATATATATATATATATATATATATATATATATATATATATATATATATATATATATATATATATATATATATATATATATTTCTACAAGAACAAAAAGACAAAGATGTTGAGCAAAATAATTTTTATAAAAAAAATTTTTATGTAACACAATAAAGGTTTTATTTCATAAAAAAACAAAAAAAAAAAAAATTAAGTTTCAAGAATAAGTTTCAATATCACCCCCCCCCCCCCCCCCCCCCACTTCAGTGTCACATGTCTTTTCATGACGTACTAAGTAGAACCTAGGCCTAAGGGGAATAATTTCCTTTCCAAAAAAAAAAAAAAAAAAAAATAACACCACCCTCCTCCCAATAGGTTCTATTATGCATCTCAGTTTTTTCGATTTCTACCTTTTTATTTACATATTGCTAATATTACCTATTAATTTCTTACACTGTTTATATTGTGAAAAATTCTCAACTAAAATGTAAAAACATTAAGACTATTATGGTAAAAATACCATTTTTGTATTTCTTTATTTCTAATTACCTTCATTTAAATTATGTTACAGACTAACGCTCACGCACATTTGTATATGCTGATGTAATTATTTCTATTTGAAAATAAAAGTATTATTTAAAAAATATTTCAAAATCATCCAATATTACTAAATTTTTTTTTTCTATTTTAAATGTTTAAAAAAAAAATTTAAAACTTTGGGAGGACTGCTAGAGATATAGATGTTTGAAAGGGAAGAATGTTTGATTTGATGTGTCTCATTGTAATCAACATAACTTTTCCGGTTGCTTAAAGTTTGTATCATTTTAATTTTCTGTGATCCCAAATTAATTTCAGCTCTACTTAAAAGCCCAAACCCCCCTCAGCCCACCACGTCGATGGAAACATTTTTTTAAAAAATCCCTTGAATCATCATTTAATTACACATTTCTATTTTCAGGTTGTTGTTTTTTAAAATAAAAATTGTAATTAGACGTTTTGTATTAGATCTATGTATAAGTAATCCATCTTAAATGAATGAAAGTAGGCTACAAGTAAGAAAGAAGTATTACTGTTGACTGTTGTAAATTTGTATCAGTCCTGAGTCCTCACAAGCCGATGATGAAAACTGTAACACTAAAGCGAACATGCAAGGCAAGAATTTTCGGTTTGTGTTTTCGGAGCTGCGTTCGACATTCATTTTAGCCACCGGGCCAAAATCGAACAAAATCACAGTCCTAAGTATCAGGCTCTCCTCACATCTGATGGTCCCAAGGGACTGGACGCAGAGTTTCTTCCAGGCATCTCTTCGGGGGAGGAGGGGGGGGGGGCTTCTTTGCCCCCCCCCCCCCGAAAAAATTCTACCCCCCCCCCCCCCCCCCCCCCGCCCCCGAACGAAATGAAATTTGTATAATTTATATAGAAAATATATACTTTTAACAGTGTCCGCCCCCCTCCCCCCCCTCGAAGAAAGTCTACCGCCCCCCCCCCCCCGAAAATTTCAAGTGCCCCCCCCCCTGCTCCGGAGAAAAAAGTCTGGAAGAAACATTGACTGGACGTTACCTGTACAACTTGGAATCAGCAGTGTCGCAGGAGCTGCCGATAGGAAACGAGTTGGTAATCCTATCGTCAAAGGGTCTCCACCTTCTGTTTGATTTCGGAGTTTTCTCTCCTAGATGGGTTGCTGTTCCCAGCTATCGAGCCACATAATCCGTACGATTCGAACTCGGGACTTGAGGGTTACCAAAATGTCACTAAATTTGTTTCACAGTTTAGTCACATTGCAATTTATGAATTTTCGTGTTAAGAATAGTAATAGTCAGTAATTTAGGTTGTCGAGAAAAAAAATTTAAAATATAATAACGCTACTTTCAGTAATCCATACATATCTACTTAAGCAGTTTTAAAGTTGCATAGTTTAGTTAAGACAAATATCTTCACTTTCCTTTACAGTTATACAATGATTTGTGGGACATAACGTTATCAATTATCCCCAACAAGATTTATATATGTAGCCTACACATATACTTACACACATATTTATGAATATATGCTAACATGTATACATATAAACTAGAGCACATTTGCATATGTACACATTTACACCTACATTTAAGTATTTAAACTTAAAAGTCTAAAAGTGTTTAAGTGTACAAGCAGAGGCGTCGAGAGGCGGGGGGGGGGGGGGGCGGACCGCACCGAGTGACACAATTTAGGGGGGGGGGGGTGATACCAAAACAAAAATAAATTGCAAGATATATAAAACAAATGTTATAACAGATCATTTAATGATTAATTAAAGTTAAAGAAAATTAAAATTAAACAATGACGATCCCGACAATGAGGGGAGGGGGGACACCATGACGTAAACATGCAAACTTTAGAGAAAACAATGCTACACCCAGCTGTATTAACCACCGACTATAGATAAACATCTTAAGTATTAAAAGTGAACAATTTTAAAGCTTTTAGCTGGAAGGTGGGGTGGGGGTGACACCCACTGCAAAATTTACAGAGAAAACAAAGGAAGGGGGTGACACCATGAAGTGCCGCACCGGGTGACACCCCACCTAGCGACGCCACTGTGTACAAGTACACACAACAATTACACATGTACACACACTCGAATCTGGACACCTACGTAGGTACACACACACCTACAACTTCAACATCACGGGAACAACACAATTAATTAAATAAACCAACAGAAAACATCGTCCATTTTGAAACAGTGACAATGAAAAATGGGTCACTGTCCAGACTTCCTACTCTCTGGCTTAGAGCGGCTTTCACGCCTCAAAAACTTTTCGCATTCTTTTTAGAATGTCGTGACGTGAAGGGACGTCTAGTGGTATGGAGTTCAACGTTGAAATATGTATACGTGTATGGTGCTTACGTTTATATTAGAGCTACGTCAATTGATATTTCTTTACTAAGTCACCTCGAACCTATTAGTAAATTAAAGCCGGTTTTGTCTGCATATATATACACTCATGCTTACACACACACACACACACACGCATACAAACTTTCACATTTTAGATTTGCACACCCCCCCCCCCTCAAACTTTCAATTTGCACCCCTCTCAAACTTTCGATTTGCACCCCCCCCCTCAAACTTTCGATTTGCACCCCCCCCCTTCAAGTTTTTCTCTATATATTTTGCTATTTTTTGCCTTGGTGTCACCCCCCTAAATGGTGTCACCCGGTGCGGTCCGCACCCCCGCCCCCCCCACCCCCCCCCCCTCGCTACGCCTTTGATAGTACTGAATGTATTTATTACAAAGATGATAATATGATCCAAGACTTTACACCAGGAGAAGCACATTTCAAAATATAGAAATCACACACAATCAACACAGGTTTATCAAGATGATCCTTTATATAACTGAAGTGATCAATAATACAAATATTACAAATATGGTTATTCCTGACTTAAAGAAATGACCCGTTATACATATTAAATGACCAGTGTACACGCTGATGTTATCCTCGTCACAATTTGAAACGCCTTGTTACATAGAAGATGATCCGTGCTGAAACTGAAGAGTCCCGTTCTAGAGCTACAATGACCCAAAAACACGTGATACAACTTAAATGGCCTTTGCTTTAATCAATATGACTCATGCCACTTTCGAGATGATCCACAAGTAAAACAGCCCTAGCTACGAATAAAACAACCCTCGCTACAGCTGAAACAATCCTCGCCACAACTGAAACAACACTTGCCTCTACGAAAACAATCCTCGCCCGAAACAGCCTACGCCACTACTGAAGCAACCCTCTTTACAACTGAAACAACCCTCTCGACAACTGAAACAACCCTCGACCCAAATGAAACAACACTTGCCACAACTGAAACAACCCTCGCCACAACTGAAACAACCCTCGCCACAACTGCATCAACACTCTCGACAACTGAAACAACCCTCGACCCAAATGAAACAACACTTGCCACAACTGAAACAACCCTCGCCACAACCGAAGCAACCCTAAGAAACAACCCTCGCTACAACCGAAACAACACTAAGAAACAACCCTCGCTACAACAGAAACAACCCTAAGAAACAACCCTCGCCTCAAGAGAAGCAACCCTAAGAAACAACCCTCGCTACAACCGAAACAACCCTAAGAAACAACCCTAAGAAACAACCCTCGCCACAAGAGAAACAACCCTAAGAAACAACCCTCGCTACAACCGAAACAACCCTAAGAAACAACCATAAGAAACAACCCTCGCCACAAGAGAAACAACCCTAAGAAACAACCCTCGCCACAACTCACCTTCCACGGGCTCCCCACTCGTGATGCGGGGCTGCTTCGACCGGGTGTAAAGTTTAAACGGCGCCGCGTTCTCTTGGAACTGAGACTTGGACAAAAGCAAATAACTGCAGTGGCTCGTGGTATCCGTGACCTGCGACACCGCTCCAACGACGAACGACAGCACCAGAACAACAACCAACGACGACGCCATATTTTCTCCCCAGTTAACACAGCTGAAAGCAACTGTGATGAAGACACCGCGCGCA